GATATAGAAAGCTGAGGGGGTGAGGGAAGCCTGGTGCCAAGGTTAAGCTCACTGGCTTAGACTGGGCCTAATCATGGGTGTGAGGGGCAGCTCCACCAGCCAGGCCAGCAGTGAAGTCACTATTTATTTTCGCTGAGCCTCTGTTTGTCAATAGGAATTATTCTTCCTGCTTGATAAGGTTGTTTGAAGGTTAACGATGCTAATGAAAGTGCTCATCAGCACAGCCCTCAGCTCTCAGAAAACTTTCCAATAAGATGAGCCACTAGTATCTTTATTATAAGAATATGGAGGTCGACAGAGCTGAAGACTGTAGATTTTAAGGAGGTAGGGTTACTTTGAAGTTTCCAGAGCAAGGGGCAGGCAGGCCTCGAAGAGGAAACGGCACTAAGGAAGGGCCAAGGTCACTGTCGGACCTTTCTCTTCAGTTCTGAGCCCTGGTGCCCCATTATGGTGCTACTTCTTGGCTGCTCTCTGCACAATGATGGGATGGCAGAGGGGCACCGCCTCCAGGGCCGCCTCCAGACTGCGTTGGTGCGCAGGGAGTCCTACTCCTTTCTGACCAAGGTGGCTGGGCTGGGCTGGGGGCGGGAGCGGGGTGGGCGGTGGCTGACTGGACGCCCCGCCCACAGTTTGACCACCTGGACTCGGAGTGGCTGGGCATGCCGCCGCTGCCTTCTCCGCGCTGCCTCTTTGGTTTGGGAGAGGCTCTTAACTCCATCTACGTGGTCGGCGGCCGAGAGCTGAAGGACGGGGAGAGCAGCCTGGACTCGGTCCTGTGCTACGACCGGCTGTGAGCGTGGGCTGGGGCGGGCCGGGTCCTGGGGAGGGACTGTGGATCCAGGTGGGAGCCTGGAGTCCCAGTACAGTCGCCCGACCGCTGGGAGGGGCAGGGGCGTAGGAGGGTGGGGCCCAGGGGAGTTCCTGGAATGCTTCGGGTGCACCCCGAGTGAGTGTTGGGTGGGAGGGTGAACCAAAGGCCGGGATTGGGCGCACCCTTGAGTCGGGCACTCGTCCCTTGCGTCTCCTCTAGGTCCTTCAAATGGGGCGAATCGGACCCTCTGCCATACGCAGTGTATGGCCACGCTGTTCTCTCCCATATGGACCTCGTCTACGTCATTGGTGGCAAAGGCAGCGACAGGTGAGGCTGGGTCCCCGAGCGTGTCTGCTTCAGCAGAGTTGTAGGTTCCAGCGAAAGCAGAATTCTCCTGTGGCTGGAGGTTTGTCCCCACTGCCCTGGGAGGCGGCCAAGGGCAGCGGGTCTCTATTCAGGCCTCCCTCTACGCACTCATCCATCCACCCCACAGGAAGTGCCTGAACAAGATGTGCGTCTATGACCCCAAGAAATTCGAGTGGAAGGAACTGGCACCCATGCAGACTGCCCGCTCGCTCTTTGGGGCCACCGTCCATGATGGCCGCATTTTTGTGGCAGCGGGGGTCACCGACACAGGACTGACCAGTTCTGCGGAGGTGTACAGCATCGCAGATGACAAGTATGTGGCTTTGGGCCTATGTCAGTCCTCCCTGTGTCTGTCCTGGCAGGAGTCATAGCCCCTGTCTTGGGTCCCTGCTGTTGATTTGGAACATCCCCACTGTAGTCCCTCTCTGATCAGCAGATAGGTGGGGAGGGGACTTCCCCATGAGGTAGGGCAGGGTTATGGGCTGCAGGGTCTGCAGGAGGGAGCTCCCAGGTGGAGGAGACAAGGGATATCAGGTTCCTCACTCAGAGACTCCTACCAGGCAGTGGCCTTGTGCTAGTGAAAGACCTGTGAGGGAGACAGGAGCTGCCCTGCTGGGATATCAGGAAAGAAAAAATGGAGCTGACCTCCAGCTGGGCTCAGCCAGAAATAGTGAGAGAAGCCAGTTCTGGGGCCGGGTAGGTGACCAGAAGGGCTGAGACACTTTATTCTGACACTAATGAAATGCCTTTGATGGGTTTTAAACTCCACCTGTTCTTCTAACATGCCTGGTGGCAGCTGGAGAGCAGGATCAGAGATTTTCTAGGAGGCAAGGGGGCCTGAGGGGTGCGGGGTGCAGCTGTAGCAAGAGGTAATGGAAGCCTGGAGCCTGGAACTAGGGTGCAGTGGAGAAAAGCCACTGGAGGACTTAGGCCAGGGCCTCTCTGGCTGTAATACACAGAAATCTCCCTAGTGTCGTGTTAATATGCAGATTCTGGATTTCAGATATGAGGAGGGGCCTATATTTCTAAGGATACCCTGGTAATGTTGGTGCTGCAGGCCTAGGGACCACCCTCTGAGTAGCAAGGGTTTAGGAGATGAAAGAAGGAGGGCATAGTGATGATTTGGATGTTGGGGCAAGAAAGAAGTGGATGCTTTTGAGTGAGAATGGGAGGCCATTTGTTGGAGAAACATTGGGGTTAAATAACAAGATTGAAGGTCCAGTCAGGATATGTGGACTTGAGATGCCTGCCTGAGGGTGTCCAGGAGGAGCCTACAGGGCCAGAGAGAGGGCTGAGGTAGAGGGAGAGATTGAGGGCCCAAGAGTACAGAGGGGACAAACTTCATAAGGAGAGGGGGTGCCCATGGCAGGAGCAGAGGTCCAAGCCCCAAGGGATGGTGGGGGAGATGCATTATCCAGGAAGAGTACAAGAAGCTGACCCTGGAGAGGCAGGAGGTGAGGACAGTCACCTCTGTAGTGGCAGGCCGTGGGCCCTGGATTTTACAGCCCTGGGGTGGATGGGCTTTTGGAGGGTGGGAATGAAGGCCCAGCTGCAGGAGCCGGGGAGTGAGAACAGTTAGGCTGTGAGGGGAGAAGAGGGCGACAGGAGTGCAAGGGAACAGGAGCTTAAATGGCCACTAAGGAGCCAGGGTAATGTGTCCAGGGCAGTTCTTGGGGGCCTGCTGGGGGCTGGGATCCTGAGTTAGCAGCCAGGAGTTAGTTCAGGAGAGAAGAGGGACATGGGAGATCCATGGGGGACTTTGCTGGGCCAGTTGGATAAATGACAAGGGGGAAAGGAAGGGAAAAGGGAGGAGCAAGAGAATGGGGGAGGAAGTGAAACCAGAGGGGCCGGGAGAACAGGGTCGGGATGAGCTGAGGCCCAGGCAGGGGCACCGGGCAGGCACCCAAGAAAGTCGGGAAGCAGGAAGCTGCCCTGGGAGTGTGAGAGGCTAGGACTCAGATTTCAAAGGGTGCAGCTGGAGTTGGGAGCACCGGGATAGCAGGGACAGGCCCCCTAGGTGATGCACCTTCTCACCCCACTGCCACAGGTGGGCACCCTTCGAGGCCTTTCCACAGGAGCGCAGCTCACTCAGCCTGATTAGCCTGGTGGGCACCCTCTATGCCATTGGTGGCTTCGCCACACTGGAGACTGAGTCCGGAGAATTGGTCCCCACAGAGCTCAACGACATTTGGAGGTGAGCCTGGCCCCAAGGAATCAAGGGGGAATTCTGAGCAAGGCTGATTTCCCCACAGCCTGGCAAGCTCATGTGTGGGCAAAGCTGATCCCTCTTCCAGGGAATCTTGGGGGAAGGAATAACAAACACACCCCACTTGCCCCATTTCTACCAGTGGGTCTAGGTTTGCACATGTGGTACCATGCCCCACTGAGGAGCTCCAGCAGTGCTGCAGATGGGAGCTGACCCTCAGCTTAGGGTACAGACCCACAGGCACAGGGCCCAGGTAGCAGCCAGGCCTCTTACCCCCGTTTTCTGGGTGCTTGGCTAGAGGAGAGTGAGGCCAGGACTAGGAAATAGTTGGACTCCAGCCTCTCAGTCATTGCTTCCCATGGCTGGTCCTTCATGGGGATAGGTGGAAGAGGCTCAGCCACCTGGGGCATACTTGAACCTTCAGTCACTTGGTGCTGCAAGTGGCCTCTGGAGGAGTAGGGCTGCTAGGGGAGTGGGGTGCAAGGAACTTCTGGAATGTTGAATATGGAAACTCTCAAGAGGACATGATTGGTGTGTGTGTGTAGGGGGCCAGTGTAGATCTTCCTGGAGGGAGGTGGATTTTGAGGAGTGTGGGAACCCTGGAGAGGTGGCCTTTCCTGAGGAGGTAGCTCTGGATTATGGGGTGGATTTTCTTGGTAGTGACTCTTTGGGAGACCCCCTTCCAAGAGCATGGGAATTTCCAGGTATCTAGAGATAGACCTGGGCTGGGGTACACTTCCTGGAGATGGGTGTAATGTACGCAGCCAACCCTCCCTGCTGGGTCCCATTTTGGACTCAGCTGATGGAGCTCTTCACCCTTGTCCCCACTCTTCCCCCCACCCCAGATATAACGAGGAGGAGAAGAAGTGGGAGGGCGTCCTGCGGGAGATCGCCTATGCAGCCGGCGCCACCTTCCTGCCTGTGCGGCTCAACGTGCTGCGCCTGACTAAGATGTGACCAGCCTAGAGGGACCTAACTAAGAACCCCTCCCATCCCACAGCCCTCACAGTCCTGACCTTGTGGGGTTCTAGGGAGGAGGCTGGGAGAGGCAAGAGCCCACCTGGATCCGGTTATGGTGCCCGAGGGGCTGCTTCAGTCAGAGAAGGGCTATTGCTGCCCAGTGTTAGCCTTTCAGCAGGGAGGAGAAACTCAGGGCCCCTCCAGGGTCATCATATTTCCCCTGGGTCCTCTTGGCTCATAAGCCATTATCACAGGGGGGTATCCAAGGCTGTGTCCTGGCCATGCCCCCAGTCTGGCCATGTGTGCCAGTAAAATTTCCCACAGGACACGTCCACTTGCCCATCTGATGGGAGTGTCCCCATCAAGTGCAGCTTGCAATGTGGGTACGTCTCCTTCTTCAAGAAGAATAAAATACCTTCTAAGCGAGTAGTTCAGGGTCTGAAATCAGGTTCTCCAAGAGTCAATAATCAAGTGGTTTGAAATTTCGGGCCTTAATATTCTGCTTTTGGGTTGTCAAGGTGGGAGGTCTTTCCCTCATGTGCTGCTCCTTCCACACTGTGTGGGACCCCCTCCCTGAGACCTGGAAACTCCAGCTCTTCAGCCATGATGGACAAGGAGCCAGGAGATTGCTGGGAACAAGGGGAAGGGAACAGCCCAACTGTGGTAGAAAAGTCTTTTATTCTGTCAGTGAGGCCCTTCTGGCCCCGCCTGGGCCTGGGACCCAGGAGCCCCCTCCCACCTACTCTAGCTTCTCTTTGTCCTGCCTCTGCTCCTCCTCCAGTGCTAGGGTTCGCTCACGTTCCTTCACCAGCTGGACACCACAGTAGGTGACAAACAGGATGGCCAGCGTGGTCTGGGGGAACCCTGTTGGGGAAGGAGTCATCAGTGCCCACAGCAGCCCATCCGCAATGACTTTTCTCTTCCCATCCCTCTCCCCATTGGATGGCCCTCCTTGCCGAGTCCCTGGGGTATTGGGGTATGGAAGGAGCATTTCAGAAGGTCACAGTCCTTGAGGTTGATATATCCCAAACCCATCTCTCACCTGTAAGTAGCAGACGTCGGGCGACCAGTTCTGTGAACTCGAAGCTGTTCAGGCTTACAAGGTTGTACATGATGATGGCCCAGAAGTTTATGGCCCCACAAAGAGCCCGGACCCTACGGGACATCTGCTCTGACAGACGGGCCTGCCCAGTTCAGGAGAGCATTGGCAGCAAGGTGAGAGGCCCAAAGGAAAGAGGACATGGTTGGTTAATGGCCTGGCCTACAGGGCCACTTATCCTGGGGATATTCACGGGTGTCTGGGAATCCCAGGCCAATTCTTCGTCATTATTAAACATGGGGAAACTGAGTCCTGGGGAGAGGATAAGAACTGGCAAACAAGGCCAGGCCTCCGTGTATTGGGCCTGATCCACAGAAGGAAGCAAGGGACAGATTCCCACAGGATAAGCCATTGCCCTGACAATCAGGAAGGCGGTGGTGAGAAAGTTCTAGGCTGGAGATCAAGTGTGTCCGGACGCCTCCACCCTGTCCTGCGACCCTACCAATCTCAGCCCATCCCAGTCCCAGACCTCCCCTGCTTACCTCAACTTGTGCAAGAGGCCCATGTTCTGCCAGCTTCTGTACCCAGAGCTCAAAGTTGAGGCCAAAGCAGTTAAGGAATGACCACAAGTAGACAATGTCACAAGGCCCAAGCCACAGAGTGGTGATGGCAAATGTGGCCACTGAGGCCACCAGCTCTGGGATCACTGCAGAGTGCTCCCCACCAAGGTGGTCATACACATATCTGCGGGAAAGATGAAAGCAGAGGCCGGTGGAAGGGTGGGAAAGGACAGGTGTGAGGCCAGCAGAGGATGCACAACAGGCGCAGCCCTCCTCCTGCTGTCACCCTGGGGACAAGACGATGTTTTGAACTTAGGTGACTGATTTTCCTTTGCCCAACTCCAAATTTCAGAGGGCTCAGCCTTGGACTTTGTGTCTTCTCTAGTTGTGTTCATTCACTCCTCCAAAAATCTCATTCAGACTCAAGACTTTGAACACTGCTTGTTTAGCCCAGTCTCTCTTTGATTTGTGTCTCCAATTGCTTCTAGACATCTCACTTGAATGACTGATTCCCCCCTCTCTGCCCAAACCAGCTCCATTCCCATCTCCATCATCCCTTCAGTTACTACAAGCCCTGGTACCATTTTGGATGCTCAGTTTCCCTCTTCATTCACATCCAAACCAGCAAATTCTATTGACTCTGGTCAGTCCTGACCACTGCTCATAGCTTCTACCCTCCTCCCACTGGAGTCCAGGTGGACTAGGCCACTTAATGGCCTTCCTACTTTGGCCTTTGTCCGCTGTCCCCCAGCCCCTTTTTCACACAGCAGCCAGAGGCTTAGCTCAGATCACATCATTTCCATGGTTAAACCACGCCCCCATGGCTTCCTATGGCAATTAGAGTATTAGAGAATCCCTGTCGCTGGTTTTCTGCCTTTTCCCCCCATCTCTGATCCACCATTTTCTCCCTCCCTCCCTCTGCCTGCCTTATTAGTCTTTCTGATCTTCACACACACACAGTTGGTACATGTCTCAAAGTCTTTGCCCTGGTAGTTCCCTCTACCTGGAATTCCATCACCCTCCTCCACCCCACACAACTCCTTATCACTCAAGTCTCAGTTCAAATATCTCCTCACAGAAGGCCGCCCAGACCCCAACTAAAGAAGCTTCTACCCTGTAACCAAATTCTATCCCCTTACACTTACCACTCTCTAAAATTATCTTATTGATGTTTGTTTGCCTGTTTATTGTTTACCTGTTTTTCTCCCCCACTAGACTGTAAGCTCCATGATTTCAGGGTCTTTGCCATATTCACTGCTTGTATCCCCAGTGCCTAGAACAGTGCTTGGCACACAGTAGGTGCTCAATAAATATTTGTTAAATAAATTCAGTGGAAGACTCATTGACTAAGCTGCCTCTCCACTCCTTGACCTCCTCATTTCCATTGGTTTCTTCTCCACTGCACCTCAGCCACCCACTCCCATGGTCAGACCCCAACTCTGTCACCATTTGAAATTTCACTCCTTGTTAATTCTCACTTTTTGCCCAACCCCTTCTGACACTTGGCTCCCCAGCTCGTTCTTCAATCCCACTGATCCCCCCCCCATCTTTACCACCCTCTTTAACAGGCTTATGCTCAATGAGTCATCATTATAAATAACCTTAAGCCCCTTATTTTTCAATTCTTCCTTCTTGACCATCTGGGAGAGCCGATTACCAGCTTTCTCTTGACCTGCACCCCCGCAGCTAAGCCCTGATGGGAAAGCCTCACGTCTTCACACGTTGGAGGCTGAAACCCACTACCTCCAACCCCACCTGGCCTCTTGGAGCTGAGCTCTCTATAGGCAGGTGCTTCTCCCCCATTGCAATGGCTACCGCACCCCTCTCTCGCCTGCAAGTATGAGAGGGTGTGGTGGGCACTTGGGAAGGAGGGCCTGAATGCTGCCTCCTCAGCCTGTACTGGCTTCTCTTCTTCTTCCTGAAGGCGGGCCTCTGCCTGAGAGTGGACACCATCACCTCCTCCCTCCTCAGGACCTCAGTCCACCAATTGCCCCTCCATACTGCATTACCGGCTCTTCTGTTGAATAGTTCCCCTCAGCACCAGGGGTGTCCCAGTACTTCCTACCTTTAAAACACCCCACAACTCCCTTTGGTTACCCCTCTGTCTTACTCCTTCAGTCCCAGGGTTCTCCCAGAAGTTGTCCACACACTCCCCCCCAGTTCCTTGATTCCCTTTCACTGCCCCTGCCTCCCCAGGCGAAGGCTGAAAAGCTCCATGTCACCAATGCTAATCCTCAGCCTCCAGCTCCCTTGAACCTCAGCAGCACCTGGCCCCGTGGCCCCCTCCACGCCTAGATCGTCTTCCCAAGCTTCCAGGGTGTCACATGGCCTTGATTCTTCTCCTTCTCCTCAGTTCCTTCTCCCTCCAACCAAAGTCCTTGCGGGACCAATATTGGCTGACCCCAACTCTCCTCGACCTGTGCCCCAGGTTTTATGCACTCGAGGCTGCAGCACAACTACCCTCCCTCATGACATCCACAGTCCCACCATTCCTCCTGACTTCTCTGAGTCCCTGGCCCTCAGATTCCCTGGATTTCCCTAATGGTGCCCCCCCCATTCCATCTAGATGTTTCTCAAACAGAACCTCTCTCTAGAAGTCACCCCATTCTCCCATGCTGAAGATAGGGGCCCAGAAGTCATCTCCTTCTTTTGGATGCCCGTACTGAATGGCAGCTCCTGGTGTCTCTGCCCCCCTGCCAGCCCCTTCTCTCCACTTCCAGGGCCCTCAGCCAAGCCCAAACCTGTCTCTCACCTAGACCTCACTCGTCTAAGGCAGACTTACTGTCTCCTTGCTTTCCCTGGCCTAGGGGTGCTCTCTAAAACCATGGGTAAATCTTGGCACTGCCCAGACATGTGGCACTATAGCTGTGGCCACCCCCTCACCCCAACTCACTTGCAAAGCCAGTCATTGATGCCCCGGTCGAAGTGTCTGTGTGGAAAGAGCAGAAGGGTGTGAGTCCACCTGACACAGAGCTCCCACGGCACAGCGGGAGGGGACATGGTAGGATGGGAAGAGGCTCAGGGGCGGTGGGCATCCAAGGTTGCGACCCCCTCCGCTGCTTGTACTCACGTTTCCCCAAAGACGTAGAGCGCAGTGATGCACTTAGGAGGCTGAGGCGGATCCAGGTGGTCCAGGCGCGCCACGGTGTTGACGACACCGAAGAGGACCGCAGCCTTCACCCAGTCATACACCAGGTTTGAATAGGCTAGGCCAGCTGGGGACAAGGTGCTGTCACTACCCAGGGCCCATCATCACCTTGGCCTCCCCTGATAACCCCCAAGTCCCAGGGGAGGTGCTGAGCCCTGCCTTCCCCCTGGACACTTCTCTCCAAAGGTTGGGGGAGAGGAGAAGTCCTTGCCACCTGCAGCCCACAGGGAGAATTTGCCTCTTCCTGGGGGAGCACCAGGCCCCACCTTCCCCGTGGGGACCCCCATCTCCACTTGTGAAAATCAATCACAGCCCTGATGAAGGGCAGCCTGTTGGAGATACTGCTCCAGCCTCATAGGACAAAGCTAAGGTCAAGTCCCAGGCATTTCAAAGAAATAAGTCCCTGTTCCTGCACCCTTGGTGATGTGGGGACCCACCGAGGGCGCTGTCTGGGAGGCGATTGGCAAACTTGAGGTCATTGGGGATGGTGAGGATGTAGAAGAAGTGAAAGAAGATGTCCACTGCTATGATGGCCACCACGCTGAGACCTGCCTGGGCCCGGATGCGCCACAGCTCGCCCTCGGGCCTCACTGGTTCCACCTCACTCACCTGGAGGGATGCAAAATGTCTGGGGGAGTGCCAAGTGTCTGCCGTGAGGAGCCCTGCCCCAGTGGGGGTCCCCCTGGGTGGGAGGAGGCAGGCTGCACCCAGGAATTCCGCCCAAGGGTGGAGACACCCTGAAGTCTGGGGAGGGTTCTGTCCGACAAGGGGAGACCAGTCCTGTCTTGGGAGCCCCATTTGAGCAGGAGGGGAACGGTCATGGCCTGGGAGTCCTGTCTGAGAGAAGACACACATCTCCACCATGTGATCCTTGTCTAAGGCGGAAACGTGGCTGCATCCTGGGGTCCTACCTGAAGATGGGGTACAGCCTGCCTGGGGAGTTCTACCTGAGATAGGAGCCTCTGTCTGAAAAAGGAGACCTAGCCTTGTTCTGGGAGGCCACAAGATGTCCCTTCACCTGAGTGTGGAAGCGATCAAAGGTCATGATGGGCCCAAAGAAGAAGAAGGGCAGGTAGAAGTTGTACTTGAGCAGGTCGGCTAGGGAGTAGCGGCGGTCAGGGCGGGCACAGCTCTCCAGTGCGAAGCTGGTGCAACGCAGCACGGTAAAGCCGCAGCCCCCGTGAAACAGCACCTCTTGAAGATCAAAAGTGCCTGTTACAAACCCGCTCTGGAGGGGAGAGAACAGGCCGCCAGCTCACCAGGGGGCCTCACACCTCTGGGGAAAAGAAACCCCTTTCCAGCTTCCCAGGGGGGCCCCAGCTTGGTCCTGCCCTTCCCCTCTTCCAGAGCCAGTTAACATTGACGATTGCTCTATCCCAGCAATGTGATAGAGCAGAGGACGAGTTGGACACACTGTGCTGCAGTGCAGGTGACAGCCTGGTTGTCAGGGCACACTCAAAGGCTTGAAGATGGGTGGAAAAGTGAAGGAAATACTTGGGGATACTCAGGAGGCAAAGGCTTTAAATGAAGCAAATGGCTTGGGGTCCTATCCCTGTACCCTTCCAATACTCCAGTGCATACCTGCCAGGAGATGAGGGGGTCCATCTTGAAGGAGGCCAGGCTGGCCAGGCCAAGGCCAAGACAGAGCCAGGGCTGACCCAAGAGTGAGGCCACGTAGAGGCCCACACAGTGGCCAAGCAGCAGCAGCAGGTACCAAGGGCCCATTGTGCCCATCACAGCCAGGGCTCCGTACACAGCATACATCCAGGAGCGGAGCTGTGGAGATGTGAGGTTCTGGTTTTCCTATGCTCCTGGGGGTAGGACCCCTGAATAGATTTCCCACAACCTTTGCAGCTAAGGAGAAGCTGATGAGGGCGGGGGGCAGATTCAGCTCACCTGGGGGGCAACCATTGTGCAGAGTTTGGCAAACAGCACGTGTCCAGAGAGGGCGAAGATGATGACATTTCGGAAGGAAGTGAACCACATCACCCACTCAAAGTCAGCTACATCCTGGGACAGCCAGGGACGGGAGGAAAGGAAGGTTAGGGTGGGTGAGGGAGGATAGCAGGCGGGTACCCCAACTGGGCAGAGCCCTAGCACCTTCCCAGGTCCCTTGTTCTTCTCATGCATTAGAAGAGGAGCAATGGCTCCAGGTCCCTGAAGTCCCCTCTGAAGGAAGTACCCAGATAGAAATGAAGGGAGGAATGAGGGCACCACGTGGACAGCACTGTCCCTCAAATCCCTCTCCCCCTCTGCTCAGCACAGTGCCTGACACTCTACCACTGCTGCCCTGTTCCTGGGAAGGGTGGTGCTGGAGGCCCCGCTGAAGCTCATCCTGCTTATGGACCTGTTTTCTAAGTGAGTCGGGCTGGGGAGGGGCCATGGAGAAGCTGAGGTGCTGAGGCTCAAGCTAGAGACCCCCTTTGTGAGACGCCAGAAAATCTGGGATAGCGGAGAGTGGGGAAGAGTTAGGGATGGAGACATGTGCCAGGGGTCGGGGACCCTAAGCAGGGACCCTGGGATGTGGGAGACCTACCATCTTCCGGCCAATGTACTCCCAGCCGGGTCGCACAGACTCCCGGAAGGCCTTCCTGTGGGCCCCATCTGAGAACAGAGCGTGGCCTCAGTGGAAGGGGTCTTTCACATGCCCTCCCAGGCCTACCCCCAAGGACGAGGCTGCCCCCACCTGGGGAGAGGGGAACAGGTCTGCCAGATGTATAGCTCTGGGAACAGGGCAGAAGTTAGGGGAATGTGGGTCTCTTGTTCTGCCCCTGACTCGCCCTGGGTCTTGGTGTGTATCTATCTGGGTCCAGGTCCCTGTGTCTCTGAGTGTCTATGTATGTGGGGGGACAGGCTCTGTGTCCATGTCTCTAGGTCTGGGACCTATATATTTCTTGCCTTACTGATTAGAACCCTGAGGCCCCCAGGGGAAGATAGATCCCACCCCTGCCCCAGGGCCCAGCTGTTACCTTGGGATGCTTCAAGGAGGCCCCGGCCAGCATAGGCCAGGGACCCACTCAGCACCAGGAAGTAGAGACCCAGCTCAGCTGCAGGCAGTGCTGTCTTGATGCCCATAGCCTGGACAGGGCTGCGGAGATAGGCAGGTGAGGGCCCAGCCTCCAGCCCCACCTCATGGACCCCTACGGGGGTGCTAGGCCTCCATTCTGAACAGAGACCACTCCATCCACCCCTTGGGGTCTGGGGAAGTATAGCATCACTCTCCCCACCCCTGTGTGCCCTTCACTCCTCCCCTCCCGACTACTGCTCCAGTTCCAACCCCTCTCACTGAAGGTTCTTGAAAGTCTAGTCTCCACTCAGTCTACCTTTGTCACCTTCCTTTACTCCTTCACACCTTTCGGATGGATTGGTCTCCACCCTCTGCCAAGACTCCTGCCAAGGCCCTCTTGAACTTTCAGGAGAGGAAACCCTATCTCTAGCACCTCAATCAGGTTTCTGGCCTCCAGGGTCCCCCTACCTGAGTGAGACTCCTTCAGCTCCTTAGAAAGCCAAACTCTCTCCAAGACCCCTTCTCTGACTCCTACTCACACCCTGAGTGGCCTTTCCTTCTCTGAGACCCTGTAACCTCCCAGATCCTGTCCCCAGCACCAAGCGTCATTCAGCCTTTTATCTTTTGCAGACCCCACACCCAGCAAGCCCCCCGCGCTCTAGCCTGCCTCGTCCCTGGTCCCTGCCTGTGTCTGCATACTGTCCCACCCACAGTGCTCTGTGTACTCTGGTCCTGGCCACTGTCTGGAGGCTGTGCTATTTGAGAAGGTGCCCTGGAGAAGTGGGTGTGGGGCCAGGCAGGGCCAGGAGGGCACAGGGAGCATGCTGGCTGCTGTCCAAGGTGCTGACCAGTTTAAGGGCCAGGGTGAGTCTAGCCACTCCCTCCTGCCAGCACCCAGCTTGTTCCCAGGAGTCCTGCTGGGCCAACCCTGGGAACTCAGCTAGCACCTATGCTCTTTCCATCCTGCTTCAGCCTGGCCCAGTGTCTTCCTAAGGGACCCATAGGTACGGACTCAGGGCCTAAATGAATGAGAGGAACATGTGTAGGTGCCCCTTGGGCTGAGTTGGGCCCTGTTTCCCACCTCAGATCCTCCCCTAAATCACAGGCCAGCCTTCCCCACCCTGTGGCCAGCTCCTCTGGACCCCCACAGCTGACATTCTCCCCATTTTACAGATGGAGGGGGTCACAGGCCAAAATGGGGAAGGGACCCATTAAAGCCACAGGACGATCCTGGGACAGGGTTTCGTCTCCCCTCAAGACCAGATATTCTCCGTGAGCCCCTCTGGAATCTCAGATGAGGCCATTGCTGCCCTGCCCGTGTCAGGGGGCTGCCAGGGGGCTGTCATCGGAGGCCGAGGGCCAGTATGCCTCCTCATCAGCAGGGTGGGGGGGGAGGGAGGCCTCGGGGATCAGGTTAATGGAGCAGAAGCTTGAAACCGGAGCACGGCGAAGAGCCCGCGGAATAGCTTTGTCAGCTGCCTCCCACTCGCCACTTTCCAATTTTAGCTCCCCATGGCCGGTGCAGAAGTGTCCCCAGTGAGGCCTCAGTGAGGAGCTGGACCCCAGCCCGGGGCCTTTCCTGTTAGACCCCCCCAACGTGGACCAGCCTGTGGAAGCAGGAGTGGTCCCTTCCCCCGGTCCTGTCTCAGGTGCACCTGGAGCAAAGCCCACCTTGGGGCCTGTGATCTGCAATCAGGAGCCTGGGGTGGGCCCCACAGGTCTCCAGGGCCCCAGAATGGCTGCATCCCCAGCTGGCACTGACCTTGAGGAGGCTGCGAGGGACCCTGGCACACTGCCCACCTCGTGGCTCCGGGGTCCTTGTATCCGACTGTGCGTCTGTCCGACCAGCTGAGCTCTGGGGCCACGGTGGGGTGTGTCCAGCCCTGGGGTCCCCACCCCCTCGAGGCTATGAGCGGTGAGTGGTGACAGCAGGCAGAGGAGGGGGAGGAGGAGGGTAGGGAGGAGGTGGCCTTCCTGGAGCGGAGCTGAGCAGAGTGCTGCAGAGCTGCTGGCCGCAGGGAGCCGCAGGGAGGCTGGGGGGGGGGGGGGGTGGCCAGAGGCACAGACTCAGACAGGGACACCTGGGTCTCACTTTAGTCTGTGCCCTTGCCCCTAGAGATCCTGTGTCTCTCTCTCTTGCTACTAGCCAGGACACCCTTCTTTCAGGAAGCCTTCCAGGTGGCCCCACGAGCCTCTACAGACTTGTGAGCCCTGCCCCCGATGTAGTGTCACATTCACACACACGAAAATGCTTTCCCATCTCTGCTCTGTGGACTGTAGTTCCCACTTTACATGCCACCTCCCGAGGGCTGTCCAGGGAAATCCTTTTTATCAAGCAAACTCCTGCCTGGACAGGCAAGTGGGGGAGGACCGACTTGCCTAGTGGGATTGGAACTGGCACGGGGTGTGTTTGAAAGTGGCTCCCACCCCCAAGCCCTGTCCTATAGGGAGTGGCCTGGATGGAGGGGTGCTAGAAGGGTCACTTGGCAAGCCTTGAAAGGGTACTTGCAATGGCTGGCATCAGCATTTTTTTTTTTTTTTTGTACCAGAGTTTGAACTCAGGGGCACTCGGCCACTGAGCCACATCCTCAGCCTTATTTTGTATTTTTTTAGAGACAGGGTCTCACTGAGTTGCTTAACACCTAGCTTTCGCTGAGGCTGGCTTTGAACTCACAATCCTCTTGCCTCAGCTTCCTGAGCCATTGGGATTACAGGTGTGCACCACTGCGCCTGGTAGCTGGCATCATCTTGATGGCAGAGTAGAGCAGATAGGAAGAAATGTCCCTAACCAACTGTGGCTCCTGGAGAGACACAGCCAATAAATACCCCAACCCTGGCAACCTGATGGGAAGGGGTAAACTGATGGCCCCATTGAGAGGTCAGGATCTTCCAATAGTTCCCCTTTGGGATGAGGCCCCCATAGTCTGGGGAAACTGTATTTGTGTCATGTCTGTGCGGGCCTGTTCATGCGTATGCTCCAGAGCATGCTCCAGGGCCTGTTTGGGCCTGTGCAGGCCTGTTCATGCGTATGCTTCAGGGGTTAGGGAGGCCCCACTGGACCTGGTTCAGCTGATCTCCTGAACACCCCCCCTCCGATAAGGTTCAGGTGAAGATGGGCAGTAGAGCCCTGCAGGGGCCCGTGCAAGTCCTAGAAGGGAGAGAGAGGCTGCACTAGGCAATGGATCCTCCCAACCTGCAGACATGCTGGTCCAAAGGAAGCCACCATGAGAACCAACACACACTCTACAGAGAATGACACAGAGGTGCATGCCACTGATCCCTGACCCTGAGAATCATGAGTGACAGCCTTGACACAGTGTGGGGTCTGGGTTAGGGCTACAGCTGGGATCATGAGCACTAGAGGAGGCCAGTGTCAGGGAAGGAAGACTTCCAGTCTGGAGGAGGAGTCAACGGTGAGGTAATCGTAACAGCCAGGATTAACATACATGGATCAACTTTTTAATGTCACTGCAATCTGTAAGGAAAGAGTTACCATTATCTCCAGCTGGTAGAAGAGGAAACTGAGGCACAAGGTGGTTAAGTGGCTGGATCAACCCCATAAGCTTCTGGAACTGACTGTCCTTCAGGCTGAGAGCCAAGCTCACCCTCACCCGCTGTTGGGCAGGACCAGCCTGGGCCAGGTATCCACCTGGTGCCCTCCAGAGGCTCCAAGAGAATGGCTCAGGGAGGCAGACAGGGTGGTTTGTGCTGGGATGGAGAACACGGGTGCAGCCCACTGACAGGAGCCAGAGCTTCGGCCTGCTGCTGTGTGCTCTGGGCCTCGTGTCCTCATTTGTAAAATGGGCACACTGCTGGCCTGGCCTCCTGGGTTCTTGGGGGGATCCAGTGACTCACCCCATGACAGAGGCTTGATTCACTGCTTATGAAGAGAGGCTGTGAGGGAGCCACACCCACTAACTCCAGAGCCCCAGAGAGGCAGGGCCCACTCAGCAGAGATGTTCCCCAGTGACCCTGCACTGCAGGACCTGCAAGGAATTTGGCACATGCAGATGGCAAGAAGGGTGGAGGCTTAGGGAGGCCAGCTCCACCCTAAGTGTGGGGTATAGGATGGGGGGCCCCTGGCTTGGTCAGCCCACAAAACAAGGGACAGGAAGCTGACTGGGCTGAGATCAGCACAAGGACCAGGATCAACTTCCCAAATGCTGATTCTTCCCAAGGTCCACTGGAAAAGATGTGGGGAGGGAGGCCAATTCTCTCAGATCAGAGTCCCTTTTCACCTCTCAATGTTTTTGTTCTTGCTCAAAATGAAAATGTGGGCAAGTTTCCTGTGTGTGTGTGCATGTGTGCACGTATGCACGTGTATGCAGTTGTCTTGTATTGGTTCTGCATAGGGTCTGGGGGTATACATTTTGTGGTATGTTGTTTATGACAGGTGCTTAGTGTGTGTGTGTGTGTGTGTGTGTGTGTTGTGTGTAGTACATGCACTGTGTGGTGTCTGAGTGTGATGTGTGCTGTATGGGTGTATATGTGTGAGTATGCAAGGCTTGAGAACTGTAGGTGACACTACGTTTGAAGGTACACTTGAGGAGGGGGGGTGGGCAGGTGGAGACTTCCTTGTGCTAAGGGCTGCCTGAGGGTTCATTTGGGGCAGGGGAAAGAGGATAGTTCTGGCCACTGGATGTGGGGGTGCCCAGAGGAGCAGGGAAGGAGCCCAGTGGCAATGGAATGTGTTTGAGTCAGCCAGAGCCAGCCTGCAATGTTGCTCAGCTGAGCTGTGGTGCCCCAGAGGCCCCTGGCGGACAGTGGCCAAATCATATCCACATATCAACCAGGTCTCCCCGGTCAGCGCCGGAACCTGAGCACCCAGAATCACAGCACCTTCCTATGCCTAAGGTGTGGCCGGGGGATCATCATGTGAGGTCACTCCACTACCTGCCTTTAACTTGCCCTGTCCCTTGGCCCTCTAGGGCACCTGCCCTCTCCATGCCTGAGGCCCTGGGCAGGGGCCTCAGGAGTTCTCATTCAGCCCACCTGCTGCCCACTTACCTGAGAGATGGGGAAGCCTTCCTCAGAGTCTGAGGATAGTTGGTGCTGCCAGGAGGGGCTGTGGGCACCAACTTGTGCAGACCAAGCTCTACTACTCCCCACCACCAGCTGGGTTAGATCTCTCAGGATCCAGTCCTTGGCCCCCTGACAACTCCTCATTCCCTTAAAAATCCTTCCAGACTATCCCGTGACTCCCCTCTCCATCCCTGCACCCCTATATGGGAGCTGGGATTAGGGGTGTAGGGTAGGGGGCTCTGTGGTGCCACAGCCTGTCTCTGCATCCTTCCCCTTCCCCAGCCCCCATCATGGCCCCATTTCCCGCACCTCTCTAATGGGACAGGGAGCTCCCAGAAAGAAGGAAGTAAGTCACTTTTATCCCCACCCCCACCCCTACCCAGGCCTGGTGAGGCTGGCATGCAGTTGGCACTCACTGTCTGGTGACTGGCCAGCAGAATGGATGGTGACCTGAAAGGAGTCTGTCTCCCCAGGGGCCTGAGAGTTCCTGGAGTTTGGGGGCCATGTCTCAGCACCTTCATACCTGGGCAAAGGAGCTGCTCAATAAATATTTGCTGACCTAACACAGGGTTATTAAGAGCTAACATTTATGGTATGCTTACTGTATGTCAGCAGCTGCTCTAAGCATTTATCATTTTTTAACTCCATGAATCCTAAAGAGGGTTGCGATGATAGAATGGAGTGGATCTGGTCTAACTAAGCTGAAGGTGCCTGGTGCAGGTGCCAGTGGGTGTGATGAAGCCCTGGCATACAGCCCCATGGTAAAACTCTCAAGGTTGAGCCAGAAGCAGTGGCGCACACCTGTAATCTCAGTGATTCAGGAAGTTGAGGCAGGAGGATCACAAGTTCAAGTCTAGCCTCAGCAACTTAGCAAGACTCTCAAAATAAAAAAAAATAAAAGGGCTGGGGATGTAGCTCAGTGGTAGAGCACTCCTGGGGTCAATCCTCGTCCAAAAACAACAACAACAAAATGCTCAAGGTTGCTTGAAGATTGTATAAACTAGATTTTATATCCATAGGTGACCTAAGTAAGGACTGAACTATGTGCAGACTGACACGGAAGGATGCCAACTCATCAGTTTATCTACAAATGTGTAAACAAGATCACTGTGTCTGGCTAGTAGTAGCTTTTCTCCCCACTCTTTTATTATAAATCCTATTTTTATTGCAGTGGAATGAAATCAATCTATAGATACATGTATGTTCCTTGTATCACAGTAAACAGCAAGGCAATAATTAGCCTTTTGGGGTATTCTTTGACACCTATTAACAGCCCTTAAGGGAGGTTTTTAATTATTGTCCCCATTTTATAGATGACATGGAGTCTCAGGGAGGTTGCATGATTTGCCCAAGGCCACACAGCTGGCAAGTGGAGAGAGAGATTCACACCCTTTGATGGGATGCTCCTTTCTCTCTCAGCCCAGCCCCAATCCAAGAAGGACAGCAGAGGTGGGTGTGGATCACAACTTGCCTGCTCTTCTCCAATGTGATCCTAAGGGAGGATGGTTGGTTCTATGCCTCCTTCTGTCCCAGGGACTCGCTGAGGACTGGAGCCTGGGTCCCCACATGCTCAGATCACCCTCAGGAGGCTCCCCACGGCCTGAAGAAAGTGCCAGTTACTTGACCTGGTGTCCACACTCTGCATTTGGCCCACTCCTCACTGTCCTTCACTGTCCCCTCCCAGCACAGGCCCTCTTGCTCTTCTCTGGCTCTCCGCTTGGCCATTGCCCTTCACAAGGAACCAGGAAGAAAGTCTGCCTTCCCAGAAGCCCTTAGAGCCCATCAGAATTGCCACTTCATTCCAATGGGCTCTGTGCCACCTTACTGTGGGAGCTCTAGACTGTGCTGCCCTTGGAAGGCAAAGGCTCCCTCAGGGGGGTGAGGGCAGTGGGGCCAGCTCTGATCCCCTCCATTCCCATCTCTGAGGGATGGCCTGAGCAGATGTAGTCTCAGGACCTCCAGGTGGAGGAAGGAGACGAATTGTCATAGTATGTGCTCCTGCATTTGTGTCACTGTACAAGCTACACACATAACTGTGTCTCACGTGGGGACTGTCTGCATCCACATACACATGTGCTCACTTGTGCTTGCATGCGTGTCTACCTGTGTGTACACAGCTACATGATCCTGCACCTAGGTGTCTCTGTGTGTGTCTGCCTCTGTGTGTGTGCCTGTGCACCTGTGTGGCCAGTGGTGTGTGTAGCTATAGGCTACTCACCCTCCCTGGAGCCAGCCTTCCCTGTGGCTGTAATTACAGCCAAGAGGATGATGCTGTGACAGTCACACAGAAGATGGGGGCTCCTAGGGTCACCTCCCCAGCAGCCTTCCCAGCTCACCATGGGGAGGGAGGTGCACCACACCCATGTCTTCACATACTTCCTCAAAACCCTCTGCCCAAAGCTCCAGCCCAGCCCCACTTCTGCTCTCTGCCACCAGCGCCCACCCGCGCAGCTTTTGGGAGCAGCAGGAGGTGCCCTCTGGAGCAACCAGTGAGATGCAGAGCTGTTCAGAAGTGAGAGGGGCATCCCTGCCCTGGGGAGCTGCTCAACTGGGGACTCTTCAGTCCTGCGAGCCCCATTTTCCCCATCTGTGAAATAGGGCGGCAATCCCCTGTATTATTAGAGGACAGGTGGGGTCAGGTTTCTATGGGAGATGACTACTCACTGGGAGATGCAGCAATTATGAAAATAACAATTATTATTACAAGTCCAAGCTTGGCATTTGAGCAGCAGCCTGACAAAGAGGCCGGGAGCGTGCTGCCCTACTCTGTGGATGGGGAGGGCCACAGATGGAGCCAGGGCAGGGCAGTGAGGAGGGCCAGGTAGTGAGGAGGGCCTAGTGAGGAGGGCCAGGTAGGTGGGGGAGGCTGGGCAATGTGCCCAACCCAGGGCACCAGGGGTTCTGCTGTGCGTATGGAGCCTGTGGGCATGCAGGGGTTCCCCAGGCAGGTTCTAAGACAGGGGCCATGAGCACCTGCTCGGGGGACTGCATCTGTCCATTCACAGCTGGCTGGTCCCAGAGCTCTGGCTGAGGCTGGTGGGCTGCTGGGCCTCCTCCCGTCACAGCCACATCTGCCCAGTGTTCCTGCATGGTTCTGCCATGGCTTCTCCTCTGGCTTGAAGTGTGGGCTCTGGTCACTCTGAAGGAGCTGCTTTCGAGGGCAGAGCTGAGCTGGGGCCCGGATGGCTTCCTGAGTCGGACGCAGTCCTCAGAGAGCCTCATCCTCTCAAGGCCTGAGCTGCCCCACTGGCCTGGCTGACACAGGGCTGCATCCTAGTGCCTGTCCGCTTTCTGCTGCCGCAGGGCCTGCAGGAAGACCCCTTTCACCTGGCTAAGGGTCTCATGGTACAGGCGGAAGTCCTCCTCCTTTCCCCGCAGGGCATTGCCCAGGGCGGCTTTCAGCATTTCGTTCTCCTCCACCTGGATGGCCAGCCTGGACCACAGGGAGACAGGGTTGAGTGTGGCCTGAGTAGCACATGGGTGGTGGTGTCCAGGGGGCCCTGGATTGTAGCTCCAGCATGACTGCTGTTCAGCTCAGGGCTTTCTCTGACCCACCCCCTCCCCTGCCCTACCCCTCCCCAGGAGGAATACCATGCTGGAGTCCTCTCTGGGCCCGCCCACAGCTTTGGGTCTGGTGCCCAGTAGCCCCAGCATTATCAGCCATCCCAAGCAGGAGCCTCATTTGTAGAGGTGCTTTCTCCCCTTTCCCTTTGCATTGTCTTATAAGGCCCAACTGAGGGAGAAAGTGGGTCCAGCAAACCCCGCTTAATGAAACTTCTCTTGGGACTCTAGGGTCATCAGGGAGTGCCTGGGCCCCTTGGCCACTGCAGGGAGATCTCTGAATTGGACGCCTAGAATCTAGGACCCAGCAGAACCAGCCCTCTGGGCAAACAGAAGTCAAGGTGCGAACAGGGAGGGACAGTCCCTCTGCCCTTCGTAGCACCTCTACCTAGACTACTACCCTTTTAGGAAGAGGGGGCAGGAAGCACCTGGTGGTCAGCTCCTCCATCTGCAATTCCACAGGTACACTGGAGAGTTGGGCAGAGGATGGGTCCTTTTTCTCACTTCCTGTTGGGTTGGGCCTGGTGTTAGAGGCTGGCAGACCTGCAGGGCAGTCTTCTGGCTCTGCCATCCTGACCCCTAGCTCACCCCAGCCCACACCATGCTGACGTGGCTGGTCTGGGACTACCCTTGAGAAGCAGCGTTATAGCGATTGGCCTTTCACTTAAAGACAACTTCCCCCACTTCAGCACAAGCCTGGAGTGTGTTCTTCTGTCTAGGGTCTGGGTGTGACCACAGCACAAGTGACGCAGGCCACCTTACAAGGTGAGAGGCAGGTTGTCCCCTTCCTTCCTCCCCTTCCTGCTGCTGGCAGGGAAGCTCCAGTGGCCACCTTGGACCAGGAGTTGGAGCTGTGCGTTGAGGATGGTGGAGCCACAAGACAGAAGAGCTTGGGTCTCCCAGCCTGTGGAGAGGCCACGAGAGCCCTCATACACCTATGTGGAGGCAAAAAGGGTCTCCTCTGCTGTTTCAGCATGACTACTTTTGGCTGGCCCAGCAGAGCAACTGTGAACAAGGTTCACTGGGGACAGAAGGTAGAGGGCTGCTGGGGAGGCAGGAGGTAGTGGCTGAGGACATTCAGCAGAGGTACTGCCCCCTCATGCTAAAGGCTAACACGAGGCTAGGCCAGGTCCAAGTGGGCCCGTGGGTCACTGGGGCTCCTGCTTCTGGCTGGGAGCTGGGAGAGGCTGCACAGTAACAGAGGCAGGCAGAGCTCTGCCCTCATACAAACTCCACTTCCCACACTCCCTGATGAAGGCCAAAGAGCAGAGTTAACTGCCTCCTCCCTCAGCAGCGAGGCTGCCCCTACTCCCCACATCAGGACCCTTCCTTGGTCCCTACCTGGTTTATTTTTGGGGGCTGCTTTCTGTGAGGCGGATGCCTTGCCAGGCTCCAAGCGCATCTTCTCCAGATGTTGCTCCAGCACCACAGTGTGGTGCCGCTCCCCCTGCAGCCTCCTTTCCGCCTCCAGGAGCTTGCTGTTGCTCTCCTCCAACCTGGTCATTATAGAGGGGCTGCACACGCCCTGGCAGGCAGGGGCAGCCCCTGGCCCACCTACTGAGGCTCCGAGAGAGGTGGGCATATCTTACACTGGGTGGTGGAAATTGTTCTGGATTTTCATTGCAGTAACACAGAAATGTGCACTGAAAAACCACATAGTTCTCTTCAAGGCTTAAAATGAAAAAAATTGGCAGCCCATCCCTACGCCCTTCACTCCGGATTCTTGTTTCCCAGAAGCAACCACTTTTAGCATTTTAAGCTGCTTCTTTGAGTGTTTACTGCCACATTTCTACAGATGCTTGTGCTGCTTTTTTTTTTTAAAGGTTTAAATATAATCTTTTGACTTCCTGTCATGCGGAATCAGAATTTGGTTTTATTTTAGCACTCTCCCCCTACCCAACAGAACCTACTTTCCTCTTTTTGACTGAATTGATATTAGGTGGTGTGTTAGTTTTCTGTTGCTACTATAACAAATTACCACAAAATAGGCAGCTTGAAATCACACAAACGCATTGTCTCACAGTTCTGTATATCAGAGAAAGGGAGCCGGTTCTTTTGGGTTCTCTGCTCCAGGTATCACAAGCCAAAAACAAGGTGTCAGCTAACCTGGGCTGTTATCTGGAGGTTCTAGGGGAGAATCTGTTTCTAAATCCATTCAGGGTGTTGGAAGAATCCAGTTGTAGGTAGCTGAAGGACTGTTATGGATTTCAGTAACAGTTTCCTTTTGTTTAACTTTGTATCCCATCTGCGGTTGGCTAGGGGTCATTTTTAGCTTCTAAAGGGCACTTTGCCCCCTCTGCTTCATAATCAGCTCTGAATCTTTCATGTGTGATGCCTTCTGCAGCATAACTCTTGAATGACCCTAGATGGAAAAATGTCTCTGCTTTTATGGGCTCAAGTGATTAGATTTGGCCCACCTGATAATCCAGGATAATCTTCCTATCGTAGAGGCCATCATGATCATTACATCCACAAAACCCTTCACAGGCATAACAGCAAAGGACACAGGCATCAAAATCCTGTCTACCACAGGGGATATATTGGACAATTATTCAGAGCTGACATGTAGTTCACTAATGATTACATTTCCTGGAGTTAATGTTTGTCTTATGTTTATTATTTTGTTTTCTATATGCCTGTCATAAATCCATGGGCCTTGAAGACCTTGTTGTGTGGTTATTTCACCTGTGAAAATTTTGTTTAATCTTTTTTTAATATTGTTTTTAGTTGTAGTTGGACACAATACCTTCATTTTATTTATTTTTATGTGGCGCTGAGGATCGAACCCAGCACCTCGCACATGCTAGGCGAGTGCTCCATCACCAAGCTTCAGCCCCAGCCCCAAGATTTGTTTAATCTTTAAGTCCCACTAACAGGGAAAAGATAAATGGTGACATATTCATACTATGAAACATGATAGAATATGACAGAACCATTATACTATTCAACACAGTGGCCTTTCATCCACATGAAGCTGTTAAAATTAAAGTTATGATAATTAAATAAAATTTAAAATTCAGTTCTTCAGTCATACTAGGCACATTTCAAGTTCTTAAAAACCACGTGTGGCTAATGGCTACTGCATTGGTCAGTGCAGATCTAGAACAAATCCATCATCTCAGAAACTTCTATTGGACAGCACTGGTCTAGCAACGACAAAGAACAAGGTAGAGCTATACATACAAACGTGGCTAATCTCCAAGTCATAGAAAAAGAGCAATTGCCACAAGAATACATATTATACCATTTATATAAAAAAGCTCACTAAATAATGACATGTGCAAGCCTACATATTCAGGTCTGTAACTTCAAGAACAAGGGTCAGGAGATAACAGGGTGGAGTGGGATGACATAAGGAGCAAGACTTGGAAGTGACATACACATGAACCTGACCTGTTGTCTACAGTGGTAACAAGGAGACTCTGGGACTGAGGTGCTTTCCCCTGTGAGTGGTCAACTGGAGACCCACCAGTGGCAAGAGGTGGGTCTGCTTCTCCCACCTGCCTGGGCTTCTTGAAGAAAAATGCTGCAGTCATTGAAGGTGACTGAGCAGTGATGGCCCTTGGGTCTGATATCCTGGGCTGCAGAGGTCAGCCTGAAATCAAGGTGTCAGAAGGGCTGCTACGCTAGCTCATCTTGGGGTCTTCTTCCAAGCTCATTCCATTTGTTAGCATAATTGAGTTCTCTTGTGGCTGTAGAACCTCATTTTCTTGCTGGATATTGACTAGGGGTGGTTGCTAGCTCCTAGAGTGCACCCACCATTCCTGCCACGTGATCTCCACAGCAGGGCAGTCTGCAGGAGAATGTCTTCAAGGTCAGCAGGAGACTAACTCTGCTGCTTCAACTCTCTGGCTTCCTCTGTCTCTGACCTCTAGACTCCTGCAATGAAGTCTGCCCTCTCTCTCACTTTGATCAACTCAGTCACCTGACTAGTAAACTTAATTATGTCTGCAAACTCCCCTTTGCCATGTAAGTTAACATAATCATGGCAACAATATCCCACCATATTCATGGGTTCTGACCACACTGATGGGGATGGAAGTATAAAAGGCCTGTATACAAGGGGGCAGGAATTTGGGGGATAATATTAGATAATGTTCTGCCTTCCACAGTGAAAACACAAATTTTCTTTTTTAAGAAAGAAACTAAAGCCCAGTGGTATTGTTAGAGAATAATACAACATTGTTCCAGGCACACTAGAGTCAACATCAGAATTAGGGTTAAAGGAGAAAAATCACATGGTCCTTCAACAGATGCTGAAGAAACATTGGTAAATCATTCCTTATTTCTGATTTTAAAAACTCAAAGTGACTGGAAATATAGCCAAGTGGTAGCCTGCTTGTCTAGCATGTATAAGGCCATGGGTTTGATTCCCAGCACTGCAAAAACAAACCAAATCAAACAAAATGCTTCAAGTAAAAAGGAGAACAGAAGGAAACATCTTAACATAATAAAATATTTTAAATTTAGAAACCAATAACTCGTGAATAGAGGAATGGTAAATCAATCAGTGGATTTACATGATAAAATACTCTGTAACCATAAAAAGAATATGTACTGACATGAAGAGAAGTTCTGCAATATGTTACTAAATGAAATAAGTAGCTGAAGATTATGCATAATATATGATCCAATTTAAACATTTATAACAAATTTTAATAACTGTTGTGTTAAAAACAAATAAATATAAGGCTAATATAATTCAGTGGATGAACTGAAAACAAAGAGGAACAAGAAGAAGCTACTGAAGCACTGTCTGTGGGGTGGGGCTTTCATTTTTCTGTTATGGATTTCAGTAACAGTTTCCTTTTGTTTAACTTTGTATTCCATTCATACTAGGCAAAACAAACAGCAGCAAACGCCATATTAAAATGGTAAAAGCATGTTATCAGTTTCCTCAAAAACTTAGGAGCAATCAAACTCTGGATTTCTTCCCCAAACTGTGCCTTCACCATCTTGATACACATCACCATCACTCATGTAATTGCTCAGCCCCCAAAGCTGAGAGTCTTGCTTGCTCTCTTCCTCACCTTTGGCTTCCACTCTTTCAATAAGTGCTACAGCTTTCACACAAAGACACACCAGAGCCAGCTCCCTCGCACTCCTCCACCTGTGGCCTGGTCTGAGGCTGCTCCTCAGGCCTGGATCCATAGTCTTTGCTCTCAAGACTCTCAGATCCTTCGGATCTCCTATTATTCTCTTGGGCCAGTCTTTGTCCTCACCACTGTTCTCTTCCTCACTTGTTAACTGGTCTAAGTCAGTCAGATCCTCATTTGTCAATGGCTTGGAGTATGATTCTAACAGTCCTCTGACATCAGGTGTGTCAACCTCATGAGATTCCAAATATTTTGAAAGACTTGTCTTGTTATTTCAAAATCAATTGTCATTGTATTTCAAGAGTCTGACCAGATTGGCCCAATGCCAGTGTAAAATGAAGAATATTAAGTGGTCAAATTATTAGTAAATATTTTGACATTAAAATTTTTGCTTTCGGGGCTAAGGTTGTGGCTCAGTGGTAGAGCATTTGCCTAGCATGTGTGAGGCGCTGGATTCGATTCTCAGCACTATATATATATATATATATATATATATAATAAAGTCTATTAACAACTAAAAAATATTTAAAAAATTTTACTTTCATGTGTGCTGTAATTGTGAGGATTTGATAAACAATATTCAGGAGATTCCCCAACCCAACAATTAATTTAACATAAATAATACAAGATCTTTATGAAGGTAAACATGCATAACATTATATACATAATATTTATATGTGTAATATGTAAATTGATCTTCTATAAATTAAGAAAAAATATAAACAATTTCAAAAAATGTGCAATGGCACAAATAGGTAGTTAACAGAAAAGAACACATACTGGGTTGTGTGAAAAACATGCTCATCTTCAATGTTTGTTTTTTTTTTGTGGTACTGAGGATTGAACCCAGGGATGCTTAATCACTGAGCCACGTCCTCAGCCCTTTCTGTTTGAGAAAGAATCCCACTAACTTGCTTAGGGACTCACTAAGTTGCTAAGGGTGGCTTTGAACTTGCAATCCTACTGCCTCAGCCTCCTGAGCTACTGGGATTATAGGCGTGCACCACTGTACCCAGTTCCTCATTTTTGGTCACAGCAAAACAGATGAAGATAATAATGAGATATTAGTGTTCCTTTATGAGTTTGAAAAAAATGTTAATGACTGATAAAACTTACTATAGGAGAGGCTATGGGGAAAGGATCAAGAGTTCACATGATTGGTAGGAATGCGAATTTGACTCATTTTAAAGGGCAATTTGCCATTATTTGTAGATATGTTTAGTGTGAAGCTACTTTTTGATAATATAGGTAATACATGTGTTGTCCATATGGCTAAATACACACATATACATATACACATGTATGTACATATGCATGTATATATTATTGGGTGTGGAAAGAAAAAAATTAGTAGTTTTAATTGTTCTGATTTATGAAGAATGTGGAATTGGGTGTTGGAGAAACAGAGACTTTTTGCAATAAGTAAATATACATTTCTAGTAGAAAACCTAGCAAAACTTCCAATAGTGTAAGGCAGGGGTTTTAATGCCAACATGAGGGCAGCTGATATAAACTTGTACATCTATAAGGCAGCAAGTTACTTACAAGTGAGGTAATATAATTCTAGACACTTCAACAGAATACCTTGGTTGTGATAATCAGAGTTAAGATAATCTCCATCAACAAGTGCAGGGAAGTGGTGAGGAAGCTGTAGTCCACTGGGGCCTGGGGCAGGGCAGGGTGGAGGCTCATCAGTCGTGAGAAACTGAACACAGGCAGCACTCCTGTGTTCCGGAAACCCTAAGCCAATAAATTAGCATAAAGCACTGATCAGAAACCACTGAAACCCCAAGGGCTCCATAGAAACAACCGTAGACCCACGCTCTAGGAGCACTTTCATAGCCTAAGAACTGCCACAAGAAAATCCCCACTGAAGAGGAGCTCACACCACCAGAAATACAAGCCACATGGGGAGAACATTCATCCCAAGTGAAGAGTCAATCAACAGACGCTATTTACATCCCTAGGTAATAAAGGTGATATAACTATTTGAAAGGACTAAGTTAAGTTTAAAATTATTGAAAAGAGAAAGAAAATAAATCTTTGTTTGTTTGGTTGGTTATCATGCTGGGGATCAAACACAGGGCCTTGCACATGATAGTCAAGCTTTCTGCCACTAAGCTACACCCCCACTCTGGAAAGGCAAGAAATCTTAATGAAAGGACAAATGCTATAAGCAAGAGAACAGGAGGTTTTACACACAACAGTTATTAAAATAGGTTTCAGGGTAGACAAAGTGCAACTCAAGAGATTTAGTGAACTGGAAGATAGATTTGGAGAAATCACTTGGAATTCAGCCTAAAATATTAAGTAGAGTTAAAAATTATGTAAGAAAGCAAGGAATTCTAATGTATGTGGCTGAACATTTTAGTAAAAAGAACAGGGAGAATCAAGAAGCAACAAATAAAGAAAAGTCCTTGGCAAAACATAGATTGAAGTCCTTGAATTAAAAAAGTACACTAATTCCTGAACATAAAAATAGAATAATAATAATAATAATAATAATATAGGAAAATAATATATATAGGAAAAATGTATAGCAAATACATACAGGAAAATATCATAGAAAATATATATATAGGAAAATATATATGTATCTATAATTGGGAAAATAAATTTGTCGGAAAATATATATAGGAATATATGTGTATATATATGTGTGTGTATGTGTGTGTATGTATCATATATTTAGACACATCACAGTGAAACCTTACAATATCAAAGACAAAGAGAATAAATGAAAAAGTATCCAGAGAGAAAGGATATCTACACAGAGATGACAAACTGCTAGCAGATTCCTTTTTAGTAACGGTGGATGCTAAAAGATGAAATAATGGCCACAAAGTACTGAGAAAAAATACCCATCTACTCAGAATTCTATGCCAAAGTTTCTCCTAAATTCTCATTTAAGAGAATGGCACAATAGAAACACTTAAAAATAAATTATTCATGGAGTTGACCATTTTTATGGCCCCAATGAACTAACACATGTACCTCAGTAGGGAAACTGAACCCAGAAGGAAGACTGAGGTACAAGAAACATCAAGAGGAAAGACATCTGTAAGCATGCTGCCAAAGAGAAAGGAATACCAATCAGCCGCAGTGGTGCACCCTCTTATCCCAGCAATCTGGGAGGCTGAGGTAGGAGGACCTCAGGTTTGAGACTAGCCTGGGCAACATAGTGAAACTCTGTCTCAAAAATTTAAAAACATGAAAAAAGGTCTGGGGATATTGGTGAGTGGTAGAAAGCTGTCGGGTTTAACCCCAAGTATCACAACAAAGGAAAGAAATACAATTTACTTAATATTTTCATGGTGTTTAAAGAAAGAATGTGGACAAGACTGTTAAAAAACAGTCACATGGGGGCTGGGGTTGTGGCTCAGTGGTACAGCGCTCGCCTAGCATGTGCGAGGCCCTGGTTCAATCCGCAGCACCACATAAAAATAAATAAATAAAATAAAGGTATTGTGTCTAACCAAAAAAAGAAAACAGTTACATGAAAGACACAAGTGGAAAAATTAAAGCATTCACATACACACACACACACACACACACACACACTTGGGATTGAACTTAGGGGTGCTTAACCACTGAGCCACATCCCCAGCCCTTTTTAATTTTTTATTTTGAGGCAGGGTCTTGCTAAATTGCTGAGGCAGGCTTTGAACTTGCAATTCTCCTGCCTCAACCTCCTGAGTTCCTGGGATTTATAGGCATGTGCCACTGCACCTAGCTAAAACATTCTTAATTTATTCTATTGCTCACAGTGATGTAAAGAAACCTATTGATTTTTAAATCTCCTGAGCTGTGTTTTATGTTAAAAGTTAAGGATCACACTCAAAGAATACAGATAAAATGTATAACTTCCAAACTTGTATAGAAGAAAGGGAAATAAAACCTGGTCAGTCTAGTATCAGGGAAAAGAAAGGAGAAAAAGGAACAAAAATCATTGCAAGTAGAAAATCTTACTTAAGATGATTAAATACTATAAGAATGAAAATAGGTTAGACTCTTCTATTTAAAACACAGAAATTTTCACGTTGAATTTAAAAACAAAGCCAACTGCATGCTTTTTTTTTTAAAGAGACGTATTTAGTAACTTTTGCTGTGGTAAACTAACCATACCAGCCCTCCTATTGTAGACAATTAGAGAAATGAACGCAATCTAAGAAATAACTTGTTTTCAGACAATAGGTAACAGGACAACAGGCACGGAACTCAATACTTAAGAGAAAGGAAACAATGACTTGAGTTCTACTGTCCTGGATTTTGCCTGAGGTCGTTTCTCAGCATGAGGGAGAGGGAATCCCAGCAGAGCCCAGTAGTCTTACTGGGATAAGGACGGAGACTGGTCAACAGGACAGAGGAGGGGGACTAAGGCCCCTGGAATTTGTAGGGCAGAGTACAGGAGGGGGAAGCTACATAAAGACCACTCCTGTGTAAGCTTGTGACACACTCTAAGGATCAAGAAAGGAATGAACATTGAGGATCTCTGAGAAAGGAAGTCCAGTGCTTTGGGATCAGAAGTCCAAACAGATTAGGAAGTTTGGAGTGTGGAATGAGCTCCATTTTCTTGCTAAAAGCCCAGGGAGAGGGCAAGGCTCTAGAGTAAGGAAAGTGATGTGTCTTGGTTGATGGGCCTGGGCCAGCCTCACAGAGTTTCCTGGCACCTTCCAATGACACAGGGGAGCAGAATGACTCTGAGGACTCCAGAAGGTGTGAGCTGACAGTGTTGTATGTGCATGACTCTTAGAGTGACAGCCTCCTTAGATCTGTGTCATGGGTGCCTTGGTTGTGGATTCTCTAATCCCAGCACTGCATGGAGAGGCCCCAGAAGATGAGCTCTCTTAGGGAGAGATTGCATGTAGAAGAACCAAGGTGGCCCTGCTGGGCTTCCAGCTGAACGAGGCCATCTAAGTGACCCAGCAAATTCCCAGTGAACCCACAGAATCAAGAAAAAGAACCACTAAATTGTTTTATGCCACTAAATTGTGGGCAGCTTGTTAAGCAGCAACAGATGACTGAGTCACCTCCCAATTGCAGGTGTAACTTAAGGGAAGTGAGAAAGAAAGCTGGTGTTGAGTATGTGTCTGCACCCGGAGGTGCTTTAGTCATCATGCCCCCTCATGAGGGGCAGACATGGGGGCTGTTCAGGCCAGCTAGACCTTGTTCCCCAGAAACCACTGGCACAAGAATTAAAAGTCATTCCCATGCCCCAGAAAAGACTGCCCAAAGATTCTTGCTACCAAGATCCCTGTATCTTCTTGGGCTCCCTGCTCTTCATCTTGGAGTTTTCCAGTACCTTCCAAAAATTTAATTCAGCCAGAATTGGTTTCTATTATCTGTCATCAAAGAAACTTGACTGATACATGATACAGCCTGTTAGGACAGAAACTCAATGGTGTCTTTTGTATTTTTCAGTGTGGAGGTCACATGGCTGGCCATGTGTTGGCCTGGGCATCTGCAGTTCTTGCCAAAATGGTCATTTGAGCAAGAAGCACTGATTTATTTGAGTGGAAATCTGTCAACAACCCTTTGGAGGCCACTGTACCTCCTGGTCCACTGCCTCCCCAGAGAAGTCTCAGCCCCTCATCTCTCTTGCTCTTGGTAATTCTAGACATCAGCCCAGCCTGCGTCTTCTCCCCTCCAACCTCCAACACGACCAGGTACAATGCTGGTCCTGCCACAGATTTTAATTTATTGCTGGATTGATTTGACCCTGAGTGTCCCTCTCCTGAGAATCCCACCTCGAGTCCACATGCCATGATGCGGTCCTACTGGGTGCACATAGGATAGGGTTGTGGGAAAACCACAGCGTGATGGCAGGGCCCCAAAGTCATGGGGCATTTGGGTGGGCACATGAGTGGCATAGCCTGGACCGACACCACAGGAGCCAAGCTCTCACATGAGGTAGATCCAGTTCCTACCACATGTGGGTCTAAGGGAGAATCCCTGGGTGACAAGTATTACCGTTTCTGCAGGACAGTAACAAACTCAGTGAGCCGGTCTCGCTCCACCTCGGTGGCCTGCCAGAGGGCCTTGATCTCTGTCACTTGTGCTTGCCAGCCTTTTTGTTCTGGGGAGTCCAAGCACCTGGGACTAGGGAGGAGGGCAGAGGGCAGAGGTCATCTGAAGCCTGAAGACACACACTTACCCCTGTGATGGTGGGAGGGAGTGGAAGGACAGTTAGAGGTTCTCAGAGACAGCCAGAGAAGGAACCCAACCCAACCCCTCCTGGTCCATCATTCCTAGCCTTATTTAGCTGCTAGAGTTATACTGGTACCTCTGTCCATCCCATTACTGTGGGGGGCTGAGATTAGTTGGGCTGCTATGAAAGCTGCCCAGGGTACCCATACCTGTGTGGTCTCTGGGGTTTGGCTGCTGTGCCCAATGTCAGGAGGCCCTAATCTGTGGTCCTGCCAGCTTGTCCCAGATCTTCTGCATCTCCTGGTTTGGCCCTGAATCCAGTCCACTCTCCTGGAGCCTGGACATTGGGCTTTGTGTCTTGGCCAATGTTCTCCAGTCCATCACTGCTTTGCTCCTTACCATTGGTCCTGCCTACTGGTTCCTTACCTGTTGGCTGGGGCCAGGTCAGAAGGTGGACTCTATGCTCCAAACCCCCAGAGCCCACGAGTAAGTTTCCTGTTGTTCTCTTGTGCCCTCACACTTCCTAGTGTGACATTGGATGACCCTGGACTCGCCCTTCAGCAATGTTGGATATAGGGAGGTTACAGAAATGGGCAGCATCTTGAAGCTGGTCTGGCATGTGAGCCTGAGGGCCAACTCTCTCTGGGGTGTTGGGAAGGCCTCTTACCCTCTCTTGGCCCCAGTTTTCCTCTGAATATTGAGGGGGTTGATTGAGATGGGTTCTGAGGACTGCAGACCCCTCTGTGTTCTGAGTCCTAAAATGCTTTAGGGCATTGCTACTCAAATCAATGGCTAAAACTACTCTGGATCAGTGACTTTAGCATGGCCTAGAAGCTTGTTAGAAATGTAGAACCCTAGTCTCCATCCCAGACCTGCAGCCTCAGAACCTATATTCAACCTAGTAGATCCCTAGTGACCTATGTGCATGGCACAGCTTGGAAGGCCCTATCTGGACACCTCCATGATTCTCGAATGGAGCAGAGGAGATGCAAGAAGATGGGGCTGACCCCCAGCTCTGTCCTATTCCCAGGCATCCCATTAGATTCACCTGAAGAGAGTGGGTCAAACCATGGCAGCTCTTTCAGATATACTCTCTGCCCCATGAACTCCTATCCCATCACTGATGGGAAGGAACTGTAAGCTCCATGAAGGCAAAGCCTATCTGTGTATTATAGAAGAAACAGGCTTGAGAACCAGCAGTTTGGGCAGCCAATCCTGTGTCCCTGTGGAGTTCAGAGGTCATAGCCACATAAGTTTGGAATGGTCATTTTGCTCATATCCCTGCTTTCAGAACTGTGATTGAAACCTCACAGAAAGAGTCTGCCCATCCTCCTTTTGCTGTGATGAGGCCTCCCCACCCTCAGTAGTGGCATGTGCCCTGTGGCTCTGTGTCAGTCTACTTGCCTCTAGAGCCACTTGCCTCTAAGTGCTCTTGTGACCACAACCTGATGGGTGGGACAACTGCAGGTCTGACCTTGGTCCAGACATCAGGCCAGAAGTGTCTCAGGTACTTTAGGGGAGATGATAGACCAGAGAGAGGTCCAACTTGCCGAGAGCCACACAGTGAGTCAGAAGTAGGACGGAGCCCACTTGGGGACCTTGCCTGGAACCTGAGCTGACCTGCCTGAGGGGCGGGGGTGTACTGACAAGCAGGAGCATGGCTCCAGTGGACAGTGGGCAGGGCTCGGGACAGGACTTAGAGGTAGGACAAAACCATCCTTTGTCTATGAGCTGGCAGTAAGAACAAAAGGCCCATTTAAGCCCTTAGGCTTGATTCTATCAACAAAGAGAGGCCAGAGAGCTGAGGGGATATCAGTGACTTAAAGTGGGAACCCATATGAGGTGAAATTCTCCCTCTAGAGACTGATTTTCCATGAGGAAGAGAAGGCCAGTGAAGGGACTGGGAGCCAGGCCCAGGAAGATAAGGAACACAGTCTGGCATCAAGAGGCCAAGGTTCCAGTTCTCTACCAACTGGGACCTCAAATTCCTTGACCCTCCACATCCTTACTTAATTGAGGAAGAGTGCCTAGCTTTCGCCTGGCCTCAGTTTCCCCTCCTTTGAATGGGCTCATACCTGGGTGAGGTCCTGTGGGGGCTGGACAGGGAAGGCCTGGTGAGAGCAGATTCCACCAGCGTGTGACCCAGGCTGCTCACAGAGCTGTGCAAAGGCAGAAGGGACCCATCAGCAGGGAAAGGCAGACTGGGCATGGCTGGGCCTCACCTCTGTGTGTGAGGTAGAATGGGAGCCAGCAGGGCTCCAGGAAGCCTGTGGAGGTGACCATGTGGGCCTTACAGCAGCCCGGGCTGGGTGGCCCTGTAGATTTGCTGCTCTTCTTTGCAGAATTCTTGTTTGCTCAAAATGAAACACAACCTGGTGATATCAGAACTTTGAGCAACCATCCCAAGTTTGTTTGGGGGTCCTAAAAGCAGATGCATTCTGAGGCCAGCTCAGAGAGGCCATTATAGGGAGCTGCAACCAGTAATAAACCTGGACTTAATTGGTTCGTTCCTGCAGATGCAGAGCAAAAATACTGGGAGAGGCCCACGTATTGGAAGAACAACAGCCCGGTCATATTAAACTTGTTCCTATGGTTTCCCATCAGGGGCAGCAGGAAGCAACTTTTCTTCTGAATAATTAATAATTCGCTCTCCAACCCCTCTCTTACATTTTTTTTCTTACCGAGAAGATCCCAGCCTGCCGATGTGGTTGCTTGCTGAGGCTGGAGGCTTGGCCAGACCCTGGTCCTCCAGGAGTCTGGTGTGGGCTGGGTGGACCTCAGGCCCGCTGGACTCCTCACCCACTACTTTATTCTGAAGATACTGTAGGGGACAGATGTGGGTTCAATTCTCAGAGCTTTGGCACAGTGGCCTGGAAAAGGCAGGAGGGGGCCTTGGCTCCCTTTCGGGGCTTTCAGGGGAAGTGAAAGAGTCTTCTTTTCAGAAGTGAAAAGCCAGGCCTGTGTGGTGAAGGCACTACTTGCATGATAATGACATCTAATAATGCCTCTCTTCAGAAAGGGAGCTACATGGTATGAGCTTGGTAGCTGGGCCAGGAAGTTGTCCCAAAGGGAGGTGTGCAGCCTTATAATTGGGGCAGATTGGAGATTGATAGCTGTAAGCAGGCCCCCTTCTCAGGGCAGCTGCACATAAATGCCAGGTATGACTGGGGCCAGCCCCCTTTGGCAGTTGGAATACCTAGACCTTTCATATACACCTGGAGCCAGAGAGTTTGGCAGGGTCTCGGCAAGGACTAGAAGCCTTGGGTGAAGGCTGGGCTTCCAGGTCCCCTCCCCTCCCACCACCCCTTCCTCTCCTGGATACTTGGAGGGGCCAAGCTGAAGAAAGAACATTAGAGGACTCTCCACAGAAGGTCAGGCTGTCATTAAGGAGTGGACAGTTGGTGTGAGTTCCTAACAACTGGCAAGACCCCACTCCCAGCCATTCTGAGAAATCTTGCAATAGGTGCCATCTTGTCTATGGGTAATGCTTGGCCCCCTACTGGCTGGTGACATCTGATATAGGATCTGTCCTCTCTTGTATGCCTGGAGCAAGGACAGTGATGTGAAGATTCTGGAATGTTCCTACGTGCCCTTTCAGAAGTCCCTCCCTAGTGAGCTGGGGATGGAAAGCGGGGTGAGGGCTACAAAGCAATGTCACACTGATTCTGTTCCAGCTTTCCTCCTGCTCCAGGCTTTCCCTCAGCCCTAAGGGCTTCAGCATTCTTTACCACAGCCAGTCCTATGGTCCCAGGCTATTGTGGCCCTGGAGATGGACTGCTATGTAGGACAAATCAGGCTGGTCAGCTGGCAGCAGCCTAAGGCTGGACCAAGCTCTCACACCTCTGACTGGACCATGAATCCCTAGAAATAAAGGCAGGGCTGCTCTGTGACACACCTGTGGCTTTGCCAGTCAACCTCTCAGTGGACCAGAAGCTATAAGTCTTCTTTGTCATTGGGGGACCTTCATGCCTGTCACAGAATCTTTGTCCCCAGAGGCCAGTGATTCCTCTCCCCACACCTCAAGCTGGAGGTGCCTGACTCCTAGCAGCCTCAGCTGTGCCCTCAGGCACCTGCATGGAGCATCCATCGTGTGCTCGATTCAGGGGCAGGCACCAAGGCATGATGGGCTCTGCCTCCTTGAAAAGGTTTAGCTTAGGGCTGCAGAGGGAGTTGGAGAGTGCCTGGGAGGGCCACACAACACATTCTGGGGGTCTGGCACTTCCTGGAGGAGTTCAGGACTAAGTAAGACCTAACAGCTGAGGGGTAGCTGGCCAGACAGAGGCAGCTAGGGAGGAAGTAGAGGTGCGCTTCAGGCTTGGAACTGCCCTGGAGTGAGGAGAAAGCAGAGTCATGTGAGGAGCAAAGTGGCATCTGTGTGGCATAATGTAGGAGGAAGGGGAAAGGTGATGAGAAGATGCAGGAGGAATGGCAGCAAGAACAGGTCACTCAGCATCCTGGAATCTGGATGAAGTGGTGTGGTCTTCTGGGGTTGGGGTTGTAGCTCAGTGGTGGAGCACTTGCCTAGCTTGTGTGGGGTACTAAGTTTAATCCTCAGCACCATGTAATAATAAATAAATAAAATAAAGGTATCATATCCATCTACAACTAAAAAAAATATTAAAAAAAAGAAGTGTGCCTTTCTTTCTGCTGTCCTGCTGACTGCAACATGAACATAATGGCTGGAGCTAGAGTCGCCATATTGGATTAGGAGAATGAGAGCCAGAGCTGGGAATGGGCGGCCTGGATCCTTGAGGACTGAATAAAGCTGAGGTGAAGGGAAGCCATGGGCAGATTTTAAATAGAGCGGGTACACAACCAGATTTCTTTAGAAAGGAAAGGTGTGTGTGGAATGAGACAGGGAGCCAGATGGAAGCAGGAGGCTGAAGTGGAGCCAGGAAGGATGTGGTGTGGCTTGGCTAAGGCAAGTGGAAAGAAATGGAAGGAGCTGAGATTTCTCTGGATGTGGGATGGATTTACCAGGGCTTGGAAATGGATGTTGGGGCAGTGCCAGCACGCTACTCACCTGCACACCAAGTTGCCCGATCTCTAATTCCAGCTGCCGCACCTTGGCCTCACGCTCGGCCACCATGGCCTGCAGCTGGGCCACAAGGCTGCTGCTCTGTTGGGCCTGGCTGTTGAGATTCTGGTCCATTTGATGCTGGGATGTGCGCCTCTTTTCCTCCTGTAGATTCAAGCTGCCCAGAATGTCCTGTAGCTGCTTCAGCTGGTCCTGGTGGGTGGGCAAGCAGGAGGACAGATGGGGTCAGTGGAGGGCTGCTCTGGGCAGGGAAGGATAAGAGGAGACTGCTTCCCCACCTGGAGCAACCCACCCCTCCCCCTAGCCACTGGGAACCTAGTGGTGGGATACTAACTGTTTTACTGAGAAGGAAGAACATATTCTTTGCCTGCCCTGGGTGGGGCTAAAAACAGACAAGTGGGAAATGTACCCTTCTTCTGTCCTTAAATTCCTTCTTCCTAAGATGAGGACTGAGAAATATATCAAAAGAGCTCTTGAGGACAAGAGATAGTTGCTCAGAAGGTGGCTCCTCAGCTGGTAGGACAAATATTTGGGTAAAAGAAAGCCTGATCCCACTGGGTTGGGAAAGTACCTTTGGAGGCAAGACCTAGACTCTCCCAGGGATTCTTTAGCATCTGGCTGAGGCCCCCATACCTGAAAAGGGAGACTGGGGTGGGAGCAGGAGCCTCCTGCCTGGGGGCCAACAGGAAGGACAATGTCAGTGATTAGGAACAGGTTGGGGGCTGTCGTCCTCACCTCCTAGTAAAGGAAACTGAGGCTCAGAGAACCCAAGGACACATTTCTGGTGAGTGGATGGAACTGATTTATAGCTCTTATTATGCCATCTTCAGTGACAAAGGATGGTGGCATGCATGGACTTCAGGGGACATCCGCTCTGTATCTTATTTTAAAAACGGGTTGCTGAGACTCAGAAAGGAGAGCACTGGGCCCCAGGATATCCAGCAAGGTACTAACGGAGGCAGGCCTATCTTACTGTTCTACAGCAAGCCAGGCATAACATGCCTGGGGTGTGTGGGCACAACTTAGAATTGAGACATCAAACTCTGGGGATACTTCAGGTCCCACAGAGAAAAGCCCAGACTGTAGGAAAGCAGTATGGCCTTGCTCATCGAGGACAGTTTTGTAGTCAGGAAAACCTGGTTTGAGCTGAGCTGTGTATTTTGGATGAGTTATATGACCTTTTGGAATTTTGGTTTCCCCGTCTGTGGAAAGGGATTACACTACGTGGCTCTAGGATCAACCATTATCAAGTGCTCATGACATCACACAGGCAAGGGTCTGCACCGGCCCCTCAGTTGTCCCTTCATTCCTTGTTAAAAAATAACCCATGGTGTGATCTGTCTCTTCCTTCTTCCCCCCATCCTTTTCTTTATCCTTTGAGGTCCATACAGCCAAGGCCTGAGCTGGGTACTGCTGTCCCAGCCCTCTTCATGCCTCAGGCAACCCCTCTAAGCTGCTTCCTGTCCCAGGGGTAAGGCCCTGGTGGTGCGGCCCATCTGAAGTCAACGCCATCTGGGTTAAGCAGGTGGCCTTTTGTGGGAGTGAGGGCTCACTCAGGCTGCTGGGGCTGGGTCTCAGGGGTCTGGGAGGCTGGTGGCCCATCCTTTGGGAATCAGGCCCTGGCTCTTGCCCTGCCCGAGTGGCTGGGCCATACCATGAGGGCATCAATGAGCTCGTCATCATGTCTGCCCTTCTCCACCAGGGTCCCCATCTGGCTCCTGAGGGTCTTCACTTCGTTCGATAGCACCTTGTTTCGAGACTTCACTCCCTCAGACTTCTTTCTCAGCTCTTCTAGCTCTTTTTGGAGGGTATCCCGCTCCCCAGCAAGTTTCTGCAATTAGAAATTGAGAACAGGGCAGTAGGGCTGGGTGGGGCCTTGGCACATCTGGTCCCTGGCTCCCACTCACTGGGAAGGCAGGGGCTGAGGCTAGGGGCACTGTTGAAGGCTGTAGAGCAAATCAGTGGAGCCGGCTCTGACTCCCACCCTCACTCCTCAGGAGTGTCAGGCGGGACTGTGCCTCCCAGCTTGCCCTAGCACTTGACAGACAGCACTCATGGATGACAGTGCTCCTGCCCTCAGCCTGAGAACTCCACCTTCCAGGCACATGGGAGAAAACCCACAGGCAAATCTTGGTGTGACCTCCAGAAAGCTGTCCCACCTCTCAACCCCCTTTCCAGCTAGAGAAAAGAGAAAAACCACACTTTAGGGAAGAGCACTAAGTCTAGGGTTCAAATGGAAGTTCTTAGCCCCTCAGAGCTTGAATGAGAAGTTGCCCTGCCTCCCCATCCTCTCACTTCCTCCACCAGCACCCAGCACAGCACCCCAGACTGTGCCTTGCTTGGTCAGTGATAAACTGGAGACTCGCATGCTACACACATCTCTGAGGCTCTCATTCCTTCATTCTCAAGTGTTTTCTGAGGACCCACTATATGCTTGGCATTGCAATAGGTGCTGACAAATGCCAACTGAAGAGTGAGGGAAAGGGGTGGGAAGATGGAATATGGTTAAGCAAGGGCTTCCTCGAAAGGTTATAGCTGCGGAGAGACTGAAGACCAAAGCAAAGATCTGGGGTGGAGCATGTGTGGGTGGAGCACCATGAGTGAGGGGGCAGCTCAGGGGCAAGGGCAGAGGGGCAGAGGCCAGAGGAGGTATTACCTCCCAGCCTTTTGAAGTTAGCTCTGAGACACTGAGGGAGAGTTTGGGATAGTGGGTGACATAATCTGACCTGGTGCTGAGGCTCACTTAATGCTGGAAACATGTCTTCAGATCCTCAATGGGGTAAATTATGGAAACGCAAAACGAGTAAAACAATATAAACCCACAGGACCATGAGCCCTGTGTGGGGAGGCAGTCATTGTTTACTTGTGCTCTGATGTCACGCTCTGGGCTCTAAGGGACAGCTGGCCATTTCCTCCCACTAGTATTGTAGCTTATTGCTGGTCAGCCATTCAAGATGCTCTCTGGATTGTGAATGTGCAAGCCCAAGCTGTGTGCATTTCAAATCTAACATTTCCAATCCTCACCTCCCCTTTGTCCCTTGAACCTACTTCTATTTCCCCTAACCACATGTGACACTCTCTGAAAGTCCTTTATGATTCTACCTACTCCTTTTCCTTCCATGTTCAGTCACTCACAGAGTCCTGGAGTCCACTGTTAATGTCCAGATATCCAGCCCTTCCACTACAGTCCTATTATCTTGTTGTAGGTCCTTGGTCATGTCTTGAGCAGATTATGCTCTGCTTCCAATATCTCCTCCACCTCCCAACTATGTGGCATTTTCAAAAAGCACAGTTAGCCATGTTCATTCACAGCTTGAAACCCTTTGGAGATGCTCCACCGTCTTCAGGATAAAAGCCCGCCCTCCTGGCTGCCATTCAAGGTCCAGCAGGTCCTGGCCCTACCTACATCTCCAATCTCACTGTTCCCCTCATCAAAACTGATGGTCTAGAATGCTGGGAGGAACATGTGATGATGGTCACCAGGTTCCCAGCACAGGGTCCAGCCTGGAGTTGACACAAATGGAAGCCTCCCAGTGAAAAGTTTAAGGCTTCACTATTAGGAAGGACATTGTCTCAGGGTCACTGAAGTGGGCCAATTGTTTGGCCTTCTAGCACCTCCTCCTGCTTCCTCAGCTACTTTCTTTGAAGTAGACCCTACTTGCTACTCTCAGTCCAAATCTGGGGAAACTGACTCAATACCCAAACTTGGTGAGAGAGAGAGAGAGAGAGAGAGAGAGAGAGAGAGAGAGAGAGAGAGAGAGAGAGAATTTTATTATTTATTTCTTAGTTTTCGGTGGACACAACATCTTTATTTGTATGTGGTGCTGAGGATCGAACCCGGGCAGCACGCATGCCAGGCGAGCACCCTACCACTTGAGCCACATCTCCAGCCCCCAACCCCTTGCATTCTTGGCCACAAGGATTGGCTCAGGGATGGGCACCTGACCCAAGCTAGGCCAAACTTTGTTGGAACTACTGGGATAGGCCCTTTGTCTGTGGGGGCTGGGTTAGAATAGAGAACTCAGGACTACCAGGGATCCCCATGGGAGCAAGTGAAGTCAATCCAGGAGAGAGTGTACTAAGACAAGATCTAAAAGTCCCTGGATCCATCCATACCTGAAGCTAGGGCACTTCTAGACTAGTCATTTACATGGGCTAACAATTTCTCTTTGTTGTTTAAACCTGGTAGAGTTAAGATTTTCAACACCCTCAAGCTGCAGACTCTGCTGCTGATTCCAACTTGCCCATCTCTTTTATTAGCCTGGAACTCTCTATCCTCCTTTAAGACCCATCTAATCTTATTCCACTTTTGGAGCTATGACTCTCCTCCTTGCTCCCTTTCACAATCAGGGTTACTCAAAATTCATTGAATGGTCCCAGAGTGAAGCCCCATCAGGCAGCTAGAGCTGGGTTGATACAAAGCAAGGAACATGCACAGAGGTGACCCAAGGCCCCAGGCATCTCCTGCCTGTGGGGAAAGCCTCAGACCCTCATGGGAACTCTGATGATCTTCCCCTTGTCCACCTCACCTCCTTACTGGGCATGCATTACCTCCCAGCCTTCCTGTTTTTCCCTTTCCAGGCTGCGGATCCTCAGTAGGTTTTTCTCCTGTGCCGACAGCTTCTTTGGGTCTGGGTAGATAGGGAGCTCATCATTGGCTGTTCCTGCAGACCTACTCCGGGTCTGTCCCAGCTGCTTCTCAAGCTCTCGAACCTGAGGGTGGGAAAACTTGTTCTACCATGTGTCTGCAGTCAGACCAGCACTCTGAGGTGCCATGGATCCTGAAGACAGAACCACTGTTCCAGATGGCTGTGGGAGCCCCAGACAAGGGGGCCTGGAGTGAAAGATCTGAGTTGGTATTTTGAGCAAAGCAGGAAGACACTCAAGAGGTTTAGCTTAGAAAAGACACACTTCAAGGTGAGAAAATCACCCCATTTCTGAGGGGCTGTTTGAGGGCAAGAAGCAGATGTATGGCCCCAGCAACCTGGAGGGATAGGAAGGCAAGCCTCAGTACCAGGAAGAACTCTAACAGACAGTGTGGAGGGGGAACGTTCTTGGGAGATGGTGGGCCATAGGCAGGAGAAACAGCAGAAGGAGGGCGGGGTTTGGAAGTGAAGAACCTGGCTCAAATCCTCACTGGCTGTGTGATTTATGCACACCTTAACTTCTCTACATCAGATCTCCAGGGCAAGGGTATGGGAATCTCATCTTAAACCAAGGCTATGGGTGACTTTTAAGATTAGGCAATGTAGAGAAACCCCAAGATGGCCCCGGTGAAGCACTCAGCACAGAGCTCAGCACACATGGGCTCTCACAGGTTGCAGGTAGATGTCATCCCACAGAACAACACCTTTATCACACTGGAATTTAATCAGAGAACTCCCAGGGTCCTTCTTATACTGGTTTCCATGTCAACGCAACCAAATGATGGAAGGAAGTTGGTGAACTCGAGCCAGGAGAGGAGGCAAGATTCAATAGGATCACTGGTAAAGGGCAGGAGCATTGCTTTGAAAGCACAAATTAGTGCCCTCCTGTGGCACTGTATGGTAGCTCCAGTTAAACCTTAAAGAGCACAGTGTTAGCTGAAATTATTTAATATACTACTTGAGTGCTGACTGTGGCAGGCACTACACCCAATGCTTTACAAATATTATTTTTATTATCATTATTGGTACTGAGAATTGAACCCAGGGGTGCTTAACCACTGAGCCACATTCCCAGCCCTTTTAAAATATTTTATTTAGAGACAGGGTCTGGCTGAGTTGCTAAGTGCCTTGATAAATTACTGAGACTGGCTTTGAACTCATGATCCTCCTGCCTCAGCCTCCTGAGCCGCTGGGATTATAGGCATGCAATACCACGCCCAGCCAAATATTATTTCATTTAACCGTATGACACCCTACAAGGGCAGTATTATGATCTCTACTTTGCAGATGGGAAAATAAGACCCAGAAAAGAAGAGATTTGCCTGAGGTTACAGACTAATAGAACAGTGAGAGGCTAGATTCAAACTCAGATCTCTTGGATCCCAAGGCCTTGCACTGATCAGCAACTAGAGGTTTTGTTTTTTTCTTTTCTTTCTTTCTTTTCTTTTCTTTCTTTTTTTTTCTTCACCTTCATGTTGGCTTCAAGTAGACCCTGAGAATAAAAGCCACTAGTCACGACCCTGATGTTGCTGGGAATGAAAGTGATGTGCTCATGTGTTTTTCAGTTTAAGGGTAAAAAGAAAAAAATCAGTGCTGCTAATCTTTGTCCAGGCCTTTCTCTGGGCCAGGGACTATGCCTAGCACTCTGTACACAATGACTCATTCATTCCTCCTGGCAACCCTGGGGGTAGGTGCAGTTATCCCCATTACACAGATGAGGAACTGAGGCACACAAAGGAAGGAATTTGCTTGAGGTCACCCAGCCAGTGAGTGGAGAATCAGGGCTGGAATCCAAGCAGCTGGACTCCGGAGCCCCTGTTTTCAGCCTCCTTTGGTCTGCTCCAAAATATTTAGAAAACAAAGAGGGAGACAAGGCAAAGTTTTTATTGGGTAATGAAAACTTTCAAAAGACAACAAGCATCTGGATGAAACTGGAAAAAGCCTACAATTACAACAGTCACGCAATCTTATGTGAACCAGGAAAAAATATGACTGGAGAAAAAGAAGTCAAACCAAAGGCATTGGCATTCATTAAGTGCCAGTGCCTGGCATGTGGTGTTATGTAAGTGCTTGTTCATTAAATAACAAATTAAAATCAGGCTGGGTGGAGAACATAAACACCGGCCTGAGAGTACGCTCTGTAGGACGTAGGCCTTTGGAGCTCTGAGTGCTCATGTCTCTAGCACAGGTCTCTGGGCCTTTTAAACCCTCTGTTCTGGGCCAGGAGCAGAGTGATGACACACTCACCTTGCTCTGAAGAACGAGAATTTGTTGAGCCCTTCCCCTCCAGGTCCCTGGAGAGGACAGGAGCTGCTGAATGTTCACGTCTTCCCCAACCTCACTGGACAAAACCTGCAATGAGGTAGCGTGTTCAGAGCGGCAGGAGACAGGGCTCCAGCAGGCCCTGACACAGCTGCGTCTTCGGAAGCGGTGCTGGTGTGTGGGACTCCTGGGGGCAGCCTGCACGACACGCCCCCCTCCCACCTCAGGGCGTAGCCCTAAAGGCTGGTTTGCCACTTTCCTGGCTCAGCTCTCCAGGGAAAGTAGCAGATCCATCATTGCCAGAGTTTCTTCATGATGCTTAGAGGAGCCATTGCCAGGAACTGCTAGCAATGGCCAGGTAGGTCCCCTTGCTCATGGCACATTGTGTAATGAGTGGACCACAGAGCTGACCAACACCTGCTTCCTTAACCCATTCACTTATCAACTAGACCTGAGAGAAGTCTGGATGGATACGGGAAGTACACGGCCTCAGGGTCTTGACCTTTGCGAAAAGCCACAGACCAGTGGCCATCTGAGTGTAGCAAGGAGGAGTGCTGGAGTGGCGCTTGAGGATGCTGTGCTTCAAGAAGGGCACAACTCTGTGGCTACTGAAGTGCCGTGGTTCAGCTCCACCTCAGGGTCTGAGGCGGAAGCAGGACACTCCAGCTTGTGACCTGAGCTCTCTGAAGCCCAACAGGAAATCCCTTTCGGTGCACCAAGTTACCAAGTCCTTGGTGCTTGTTTCCACAATAGAATGTTGTTTTGGAAATCTTGGCTGGTCTGAGAGGTTCCAGCAGGGAAGACAAATGCCAGAGAATTCACTACATAAATAAAAATAAACAACGAACCAGCTGGGCCTCCAGGGCCTGTGCCCCACGTCTGAGTGCTTTCCTTTGAAAGGGCCCTTTAATGCACAAACCTCCTGTTCATTTTCTGATACTACAGATAGCAGGGGGCAGGGGGAAGATCTTGGCAGAATTTTGAGTCAATGGTGGCTTATTAAGTGGAGACCCAGGATCTATTAGGGCACAGGGAATGTAGGGAAGGCTTAAAGGAATCCCCCTGGGTGGAAGGGGTATCCTCCCTTAGTCCAGAGCTAGGCAGGCACCACAAAGGAATAACCCTAAGGCAGCTGGTGACCTTGCCCATCAGATGGGACTATACCAAGGAGCCCTGAAAGGAAGTTACTGGACGTGGAACCTGACCCAGAGCAAGCAGGATGCTCACTGGCAGGGCACTCCCTGCTCCTGGACGATGGAAGCTGTGTGCCAGCTGTGCTCTTCCCAAGGCCAGCCCCAGCCCTCAACAAGTCCCAAGCTGAACCCAAGTTCTGAAAGACCTTCTGGGTCATCCGGAGCTCCTGCTTCACGGACTGAACCTGGTTGCGCAGATCACTCATCTTCAGGTTCATGGTTGTCAGCCTGTCCTTCAGGGCCTTCACCTCTGGGGTCTCCGGCTGGTTGGCAAGAACAGGGAGAAAGCAGTCACTTGTTGCCTGAATTGTAATAGCAATCAGCCCCTATTTATCCAAGTCTGCACCGGGCACTGTGCTGGGTGCTAGGTGCTTGGTGCTTCCTAGCATGGACTCTCTCTACTGTGCTCAGAGATGGCATCACAGCTAGTTTATCTGCCCTTAGAAGAGGGAGGGAACTTGTTCATTCACAGAAGGCCACTCCAACTTTGCAGGAGGGCCATGACCTTCCTAATTCAGGGTCTCCCTCTCCCAGAATCACACTGATCAATCTGGGCCTTGTCTCTGACAGATGAGGGGCTTTGGGCTCCCTTGAGGGCAGTGTGCTCACTGAACAGAGAAAAGGACCAGTTTCCCCCCTAAACACTCCATCTCTGAGACTTAAAAAGCTGCAGCAACCATGGAAACTAAACTGACTGTTGGACCTCTTAATGATGTCTTTTTCCTTTTTTAAAAAAATAATGCTTGGGGCTGGGGTTATTGCTCAGTGGTAGAGCACTCGCCTAGCACATGCAAGGCCCTGGGTTCGATTCTCAGCACCACATAAAAATAAATAAATAAAATAAAGGTATTTTGTCCAACTATAACTAAAAAATCAAATATTAAAAAAATAATGCTTGATGCAATGTTTGGCTACAGCTTTTTCTCCAATGAGCTGACTACCTCTCTGTCTTCTATATACACTAAGGAAGCCTCCAAGATCAGCCCATTCAAACTCCTTCCATCAATGATGAAAATAAAATCCAGAGAAGGGAAGTAACTTGCCCTCGGGCACACAGCTGGTTGGGGGTGACATAAGTAGGAATAGAACCCTGGAATGGACCCTGTCCTGGTTGATCTTCCCAATTTACGCAGTTGCTGCTGTCGCTGTTGCTGGCAGCAGTAATGTTTGTTAGTGGACTGAGCATCACCAAGCAATGATGCTGGGTCCCTCTGCTCCTGCTCCAACAGACTCAGAGTGCTGGACTTCTGGGAAGCAGGGTGAGGGTACAGCGACATTCTAAATCTTCTTCAGTAGGCACAAACAAAATCTCCTGTGGGTGCCATTATGAAAGACAGTATGGGAAGTTCCATGGACCCCAGAGGCTCTGAATAGTTCAACTGAAAACCAGCAGTCAAAGAAATTATTTGGACACATGGTCTAGAAACCCTGATGGTATTTTTTCCTCATCTATGGAATGGGTGTCCTGCTTCCTCCCAGCACCATCATGGGGCTAAAACGAATAACCAGTGTGGACAAAATTTATGAACTGGAAACTTATGTGAAATACAAGTATATCCTTTTGTAAAAAAAGACATTTTTTTCATATCCTCCTGCATGTCTGGCTGCCTGCCATCCCCTCATTGCTATTGGGTGCCTATCTTCTTGCCTGTTAAATGTGTGGCTTTGAATCTGTCCTGAGCTGGAAAGCAACACCTACTTCTCCCTGTCAGATCTTCATGCCATGAGTCCCAGTGGTCCTGGCAGCCCTGATGCTGAGAGCTGAGGGAGTACATGGGCTTCTCCTGGGGCTGTTATGACCCTGCAGCATCTCTCTGGTCAGAGCATGAAACTAGCATCCAGGTTGAATCTGGCTCTAGATCCTGGTTAATGGTGCCCTCTCAGCCTCCTGTCCTCACCTGTAAAGTACCTGCAACGGTTGATGGGATAACTCTAGTAAAGGGCACTATCTAGGCCAGGTTCTGACAGAGGGCAATGCCAGGGGCCCTTTATCAGCTCTGGCAGCCAGTTGGCAAAGTGGACTGAGGCCAAATGATACTCTGGAAAGGGCTGGGCCAGGGCCTAGTCCTTTTGGGCAGCTGGGTCCGGCCTACCTTGCAGCCATTTTGGACCTCTTTCTACCCAGAGTGAAATTCTACAGGCTTTAGGGGGGACCTGGTATAGGCACATCTGCAGCCATCCTGGGCTGTTTCCTTTGAGGGAATAACTGGAATGCAGTCCAGGAGAGCAATGCCAACAGTGCTCATGCCTCAGCCTCACGCAGCCCCATGCAGAGCACCGGGCCTCAGCTCCACTCTGGAATGTACTTTAGAGGCGAGGCCAGAATGTGGCAGCCTGGGCCACCCCACAGAGTGATGAGGGGGAGCATTGCTCTTATTCTCACTCCGATCATAAGATGCCAGGGAAAACATGTGGTATGGATGAACTGAAGCTTGCAGCCCCGCACATGCTCTTCTGTCAGAAGCTCCCCAGGCTGCCCAAGGCCACAGAACTGAGTAGAAACTCCTGCTCCACTACTTTCTGAGGACCCCCTCCATGGGTGACCCCACCCCAGCTCTTTTTGGCTCACATTCCTTTTCCCTGCTGTGGGCTCTGGGCTGTAGCCCAAATGCTATCCAGCTGGCATCCAGGTAAGCAAATTGAATGGGAAGGCTGAGTGCTTCCTAGCCTTGGCCCTGGCTTGCACTGTGCTCCTGGAAGGCCCTTCCTGTTCACCAGAAAAGCCAAGTTCAAGGATGCCCCCATCTCTCTTCTAGCTGATTTTCCTGAAGGGTATACTCCCTTTGTGAACATAGTGACCTGGGGCTTTCTCTGAAGGCCCTGTCTGCGTCCTTCTTTCACATGGCTATTTCTGTCCCTCTTGGATGCCTCTGGGGACAGAGGTCCTGTTTTGATTCCTATGTTACAGGGCTCAGAAAATCCCAACAGGCTCAACAGGTGACTGAACAAACAGTTTCTCTTTTAGGGCTGCTCTCCGGGGAACATGGAGGTGCTTGATGTTCTGGATAAACCAGGGGCAAATTAGCAGCATCCCTCAGAGCCAGGAAAGGCCTAGAAGAACACTCAGTCCAGTCCCTGCCAAGGGCAGAGTCTCACTTCCGCCTCCCCAGCAATGAGACAAGTTTACACAAGGCTAGACTTAAGGGGACACACACACTCCACACTGGGAGACTGAGTCCTCAAGACAGGACTGAGGTGGACTAATCCTGCAACACGGCACACGGGGCAGGAAAGGGAGCACCAAACTAGGAGTTCTGGGCTCAGCTCCCTGTCACCAATTGACCTGGTTTCCCAAGAAAACCCTGGTGAGTCCTCCCAGGATATTATGTTTTTGTTTTTGGCACAGAGGATTGAACCCATGGGTGTTTTACCACTGAGCTACATCCCCAGTTCTTTATATTTTATATTTGAGGTAGGGTCTTGCTAAGTGGCTGAGGGTCTCACTAAGTTGCAGAGGCTAGCCTTGAACTTACGTTCTTTTCTGCCTCAGCCTTCCAAGTAGCAGGGATTACAGGCATGCACCACAAATCCAGCTCCTCCTGGGATGTTCTTGAGACTGATGCTGTTTCTAGTCTGGCTTGGGCTACCTGCCTCTGGCAACCCACTGGATTGCCTTCCTTTCATAAAGTTACAATTCCTACACCTCCTGGCTTTCATGGACTGTGTGCTGGTTTAGTAAAAATAGGATCTGGGGAACAAGCCCCTATTCCCCAAATTTACTCTTATTCTGTAGATTTGGAGCTCTGCAAAAAGCAAGACTCTTCATAGTATGATTGCCCATAAAGAACAGGAACCCATTGGGCAGGGGTGAATTCCCTGTCCCTGGGGCAAGGTAGAGTTGGATCTCCCTAGTGAGGAGCTATAAAGGTGATGATTGGACTGTAGCAGAGGCCAGTTGGTCCAGGCCTACCCTTCTGGTGCTGAGGTTCTAGGATTCCAGGGGCCTGAGGTCCCTCCCACCTGCCCTCTCTGGAGAATGAATCAGAGCTAGATCCACCCTGGGGTGTAGCCAGGGCATCCTGGCCTCAGGCCATAGGCTGCCTAACCTTCCTGATAGCAGCTCTGAGGAGGCTGCAGTGGTAGACAATGAGCCCCTGTCTCAGCAACAGGTGTGTGTGGGTGGGCCCTGGCAGAGGCACCTAGGCCCTGGCTCTGGTGGAGGAGGGGAGGCCCTGGCTGATAGCACTACCTCATGCACTCCCCTGTACAGAAGAGAATCCATACCAAGGCTTTGTCTCCCAGCTGGGCCCTCTGTGGCTTGGCTCCTGCATCGGTGGACCCCTTGGCTGGCAGCCTGGACAGGGCTGTCTGCAGCTGAAAAAGCAAAGCATGCACTTAATGTTTAATTCTGCTCCACAATTGCACAGCTCAGCTGAAGTGCTCTGAGTGTGTGGTTACCTGTCTTAGAGGTTTGTCCTTTTAGTTCACTTTAGGATCATTAATGGAAGAATTCTCCTTTACTAACTGCTCTGTGATGGGAGAGGGTTTAATTGATTGCCTCCCCCACTCCTCAATTGAATGGTAAGAAAAGTTTAAGGCTAATAACTTAATAAATAATAATGCTATAGTCATAATCTGTCTCCAGGAATTCTATCCAGAGCCAAGGAGTGGAGAATAAAGGAATTATGGACTTCAGGTTACAGATGAGACAACAGAAGTAGAGACACAGAGATGCTGCCACATTGGCTCATGGCCTCATGGCAAGACTGCTGCAGACATCCAGACAACTGAACCTTTAATTATTTCTTTATTGTTCTTTGCACAAAGACCATACCCTATCTGACACTGTGAGGCATGACCCACTCTCCAACCTCTCTGACCTCATCTTGTGTCTGCTCTTGACCATATTCAGGCCTTCATTTTGCTCCGGGCCTTTGTGCCTACTGAGCCCTCTGCCTGGAGGCCATTCCCCACCTACCTCTCTGAGTCTTGTATGTATGTACCTACTCCCTCCATGATCTCTTTAAGCAGCTCCCGTCCAGGTCCTCATCATCTCCTTGCCATGGCCATTACTCAACATGTTGCTCTCCTTTACCTCTCTGCCTTGGTTTATTCATAGTCATGCCCAAATCTGTATTGGTCTGTCTTCCAGGAGGCCAGGAATCATCCTTCCCTACAGTCTCCCCCAGGGCCCAACAGAGACCTTACATGGTTCTCAAAAAATACATCATAGAAAAAAGGAGCTCTTATTCAAGGCCAAGTGTGATGACTGACATGGATTCTGGAAGGGTCTGGAATGGAATATAGCCTAATACTACCACATCTGGTGTGGCCTGAGAAGGCCTCTCAACCTCTGGCAGCTTCAGCTTCCCATGTTACACTGGGAGAAGCTGTGAGGTGTCCCTCTAGCCTCTGGATCCATTCTAAATCCTAAGGGACCCTGAGCCATTTGGGCTGTGCCTTTGATTGACCATCTGTGGGATCATCTGTGGGAGGGCAGGAGGCTGCAAAAAGGAAGAGGGACATCAGCGAGATCTACTGATGGAAGGTCTCTGGCTCTGGCTTCTGATGAGCAAGGATCTCTGTGAATTTATTTAGCAAATGTTTATCTAGTGCTTACTAGGTGCCAGGCAGTGTTCTAAGCACTTTATAATGTTAAATCATTTAATCCTCATAAAGCCTTAGAGTGGGTACAATTATTGCTACCATGTGACAGATGGAGGATGCTGAGACACTGAGAGCTTATGACTTGCTCACAGTCACAGATCTATCAGTGCTGGAGTTGAGAGCCACACCCTGGTAGTCCGGCTCCAGTTGTGTACCCTTAGCCACTCAGCCAGGCTGCTTCTCAATGGCCTGTGTCCCCTTGCTTTCCCTCTCTGGATGTGACAAAGACTGAGGAACTCACTGCAATTTCAAGCCCTTCAGAAGAACCCAAAGCATCTAATGGCTCTCTCTCTGGACCAGGGCGCTAGGAGTGTTACCCCCCCCACCCCCAAGGAAAAATGACTTAGGCCCCTCACTTCCCGCTCCAGCTCCTGGATCCGATTGGTCAGCTGCTTCATTTTCATTTTCCCACCCTCTGACTCTGCCATCAATGCCCGATTCTTTTTGGAGAGTTCCACAATTTTGGTTGCGACTACATCTCCAGCCATACTGGCACTCCCTAAAATGAAAGAAATGGTGAGGTCAATTAAAAACACAGGTCTGCACATCAGACTCATGCCACACCTCCAACAGCACCAGGGTTTAAAAGCCAAAGTACTGGGAATGAATGGTCACAAAGGGTAGAGGTCCCGGAGAGTCACCACATGCCAAGGAACCCTAGGAAATGCAGCCACTTAGATTCAGTCTTTCCTCAGCTGTTCTAGGAAAATTGTAAGATCAGAAAGCAGACTTTTACTACACTGAGATTCCATCTCACTCCAGTCAGAATGGCAATCATCAAGAATACAAGCAACAATAAATTTTGGCAAGGATGTGGGGAAAAAGGCACACTCATACATTGCTGGTGGGACTACAAATTGGTGGGACCACTCTAGAAAGCAGTATGGAGATTCCTCCAAAAACTTGGAATGGAAACACCATTTGACCTAGTTATACCACTCCTAGGTTTATACCCAAAGGATTTAAAATCAGCATTCTACAATGACATAGCCACATCAATGTTTACAGCAGCTCAATTCACAATAGCTAACCTATGAAACCAACCTAGGTGCCCTTCAACAGATGAATGGTCAAAGATTTTGTGAGATATATATATACATACATACACACATACACACACACACACACACACACACACACACAGACCAATGGAATATTACTCAGTCTTAAATAAGAATGAAATTATGGCATTTGCCAGTAAATAAATGGAACTGAAGAATATTATTCTAAGTGAAATTAACCAATCTTAAAGAACCAAAGGCCAAATGTTTTCTCTGATATGTGGATGCTAATTCACAATAAGACGGGGGGAATAGTGGTACTTTGGATTAGACAGAGGGGAGTGAAGGGAAGGGAGGGGTATAGGAGTCGAAATAATAGTAGAATGAACAGACATTATTACCCCATGTGCATATATGATTACAAGACTTGTGTAACTCTACTTCATGTACAACCAGAAGAATGAGAAGTTACACTCCATTTATGTATGATGTGTCAAATGCATTCTACTGTCATGTATAACTAATCAGAACAAACTTTTAAAAACATTTTAAAAAGCAGAGTTTTAGTTCTGTGGGAGACAGGCTTATTGCTCTTCACATAATCTCAGTGATGGGATTGTAATTCACACCCTATGATCTGTGATTTTTCTGTGTCCTCAAACGATCAGGGTGCGTGTCCTCAACCCTCCTGTATCTGCCTGGCTCTGGGCTTTGGCTGATGAGATGCCAACAGCTGAGGTGTGGGCAGAGGCTTGGAGAGCATGCGTGTAGTTAAGCTTGCTCTGCTCACATATGCCATCTCCACAAGAACAAATCCATGCCAGCTAGTTGATCCCAGGAGGAAGAGGGGCACATGAAACAAAGCTGAACCATTACAGCCAAGCCTGGCCTAGCTCAACCAATCTCCAATTAACCCCTAGATGTTTGAGCTAAATAAATTATTATTACCAAATGCTGCTGAGATTATGCAGTTGTTTCTTACACAGAATTTTGTGGTAACATCTAACCAATATACATTCATACATTCACTCAGCAAATGTTTTACTAGTTTCTACCAAGTACTTGACCCTTTTAGAGATTCAGGGGTAAATAAAAAAGATGGATGGGATTTACATTGTAATTAATTATCTGTAGGGAAGACAGATAATAAAACATCAAACAAATAAGTATTAGAAGATCTGGAAGGAATAAGTGATATGAAATAAAAAGAGAGGCTGAGCAAAGTATGTTAATGATGGGGTGATGCTACTTTACCTGGAGCAGCCAGGATAAGGTAATATGTGAAAAGACCTGAATGGATAAAGTAAGGAATCAAGTAAAGTAAGGAATCAAGCCAAGAGAAAGCAAGTTCTCAACTAGGAAGAGTGTTCTAAGTAGAGGATACAGCAAGTGCACAGGCTTGGAGATGGGGGCATGCACGGGGAATCTGAGGAACATAAAGTAGGCCGCAGTAGCTGGAGGGCTACTTGCAGTGGGCAAGGGAAGTGGTTGGTGAGATGTGAATGGGGGGAGTTGCATGTTGTGAGGGCTGTGCAGAAGGCAAGCAGTGAGAGCTAGCCCAGATTGGCCACTGACTGCCTGGGTAGCCTTGGTAGTCACTTGTCTTCTTTGGAGTACAGTTCCTCTACCTGTACAATAACAGCTCCCTGAATGCTTTTGACACTCCAGAAGTGTGTGACTGGCAGGTGTTTTCTCAGTTCTACTTTTTAAAAAGACCATGATATGCTGCAGAACAAGACAGAAGGTGACAACCAATGGAAAGCAAATGGTAGCCCTTGGTGGGTTTTGAATTACTGCAGTCCAGGCCTGCTATGGGTAGTTAGGAACAGCAGCCCTCAGAACCTCACATCTACTGGAAAGGCCAAGCACACATCAGGAGAAAGAGCTCAGAACAGACCTGGAGCCCTGGAGTATCTGGAGGGAGACAGGAACTGCTGAGCATCAAGAGAGCACACTGGCTCCCTAGCTCCTTTAACAAGTTATGGGCAGGGAGGGGATATCAAGGGTCACTGGGAAAATCATCAACACTAGCAGTTTAAGAAACACCGTTGAAACACCAATTCTGGTTCTGGTTGAGACAGAGTCAGCACACTCTTTCTTTCTCATTGAATACAACTAAAACCCTGGGACAGTATGTGTGAAGCAGCTACCTGAGGGCTCTGGAAGTAAAAGGCAGCAAAGCATACGGGGGTAGGATACCAGACCTAGAAGCACAAATGATCCAGAGGGGAGTTTCTTTCCCAGGACTCAGGCAGCACAAATCCTAGAACTAGCTATCAGAAAGAGGTCAAGGGAAGCCCTCTTTAGTACAAAGTGAAGGAAGAAGAGCCTGAAGTGAAAGAAGAAAATCATCTTTTTTTCCTTTTGTCTCCCAATCCTGTCTCCAGGCCAGTCCCACTTCTGGGGCTGTCCCCTTGTTGATAAATGGGGGCAGTAGGGGTATGGGAAAGCACAGAAATGCTAGTAGCTAGGTAAATAAAATAGACTAATTTCATCTCTGTAAGTTTTTAAGACTTATAATGTTCGTAAGCCAAAGCTTTAACAGTGATGGAATTACCAGTTTTGTAGGTGTAATTCATAAAGGCTGCAATTTATAAGTGGGGAGGGTGAGGGACCTATGTGGTGACAATACTTCTACGTTCCACTTGACGTGGTAAAACACTAATCCTAAATAGACTCTAAAAAGGTGAGTATGTATTTTGTAATCACTAAAGCAATCACTGAAAATCCAAAGAAAAATAGTCCATCAGCTGTCAGTAGCCTGTCACTTGTGGCTTGGTTTAAAAACATGAACTGAACCAGTCAGACCTCTCTCTGGATTTAAGCAGTCCCTGTTATCCTGATGAGGCCATCAAGGAGTCTGAAAGTTGGCCAAAGCAGCTTGTGGCAAAGAACAATGGACAAACCCAGGAGGAGGGAGCAGCCCAGGTTCTCCCTCCAGGCTCTGCTGGGATAAAGATGGGTCTCCTGCTCCCCCTGGTGCCCATCAGCTTCTCGACAGCCTTGCAAAAGTATAAGCAAGCTGCCCCTGGAGCGGCTGAGTCTGAAGCCAGGTTGTGTCTATCCTCACAACACAAAACTTATCTACAGGGTTTTTGTTTTAGATAGAAAAGGCCAAAGAATGGGATATGCACCAGGGATTTTAGGACACCAAATTCTTCTTGTTTTTTAATTCAGCATTGACTGATCAGATCTTAGTTCTGAGCATTTATTTTCAAAAGCAGGGAGTGATGTTGGCAGGCGCTGGGTCAGCTCTGTTGCTCTCTATGATTGGTAATACCTACTTTCTGGTATTTTGGCCTCTTGGGAAATTTTCAGTGGGTGTACACATGACAGAGCAAATCGGGGCCAGAACTCCACCAAATCTGCAGGGCTAAGGTCAAATTTATAACCACAGGGCCAATGTCCTGCTCACACCCACAGGGTCAAGTTCATCCCCAGCCCAACAAAACCAAGGACCACAGGGCCAAGGTCTCCACCAACTGAGCCAAGGTCCAGCATAGACTCTGCTGAGAGAAGCTGGGTCCCAGGAACTTCTCCCAGATGACCAATGTCCTTCCTGGAAGCAAGGCAGATGCTGTAGAGTTAAAGTCTGCTTCTATTGGGCCTTCTTAAACATCCTTGATGTGACGTTTGAGCCAGAGCACCAAGGAGAAATAGATCCTAAACAGGTTTGTGAACATGATGGAGACCCTGGCTGGGTCATCCACATTGCCTTGATGATTGCCTACTGCTTTTGCTGCCCCTACTGTTCCTTGGCATGCAGGCCTCCCTGGCTGCTCTCTTCTTCTACCCTCTGCCTCACTTCCAGAATTCATCTGGACAAACGTCACCACAACTGACCCTTGGCCCTATCTCTTGGGCACCTGCCTTCTGGAACCATGCTAACTCCCCTGGACTTCAGGGCAGGACTGTTGCAACAGTGGTGGAGCTACCTGTGAAGGCAAGTCTGTCCTCTTCTATTTTCTTTTTGAGGTGCTTGATTTCAAAGTCCCTTTCCTTCAGCAACTTATACAATCGCCCGTTCTCATCCACAGTTTCTCTGAGCTCCTCCCGAAGTTGTTGGATCTCATCTTCAAGCACCCTGTGAGGCAAAAGAGGAATTACTGCTCCTCCCTAGGGGCAGGTGGGCAGGGGTAGGGCCTCTCCTGCCCAGGCTTGTGGTACTTGGGTACTAGGTGGTGATAAGAATTTGTTTGTACAAAATAGGAAAGAGAAACTAATGAAAGTCTTGAGCAGATTTTAACACACTGTTCTCGGATCTGAGTGATTAAGCAGGTATTCCCCACATGAGTGAAAGGAGAATGAAGATTTGAAAAACATTGTTTATTAGTTGGCTTCAAGACACTGATATAAAACCTGACTCAGGAAATTGACACAACTTTCAAGCATCCAAGGGACATGCATAAAAATGAATTGTAGGCTGTAAGGCAATCTGAGCAAATTCCAAATAAAGATATCAGAGAGTTAATTTCCCCTAATGGCAATTGACTAAATTAGAAATCAATATTTAAAAAATTAGCAAACACCATCATATATTTGGGACTTAAAAAACCTGATTTATATATTGTATTATGAAGCATTTAGAATTAATAGACCACACAAGCTATATCAAAACTTGTCAAAGGCAGCTATAATTAAGGCTATGATTTTCTTTCCATTTCTTTAGCTGCCTTGCAAAAGTCTGGATATTGTTTTAAAAACACACACACACACACACACCAAATAGGAATTTTCTAAGTCTTAGGTTGAGGCTAGTTTTCCAGGTTTTAGGTAAATTTGACAGAAAATTAGAACAGGAGGTTAATTCTGTATATTCCAGATTGTACTGGAAGGGTCCTTCAGAACTCTAAACCACTAAGAAACCTGTGATCATGTCTGTTAGGCAGAGAACAGACTCCCTAGAGACAGTTGCTAGCAAAGTAAATATTTTGTAGGTTACAGTAATTATTAGGTAACAGTTCTTGTTATTATTGCTGCTATTATTATTATTATTATTTTATAAATGGTTCTAGTCTCCACTAATTTAAGTTTCTCTGGTTTGGGATAGATCATTTGGAAATAGGTCTGAGGTTAATTTGAGCTTATATATAGGAGTTTTATGTTTTTTTCCCAATTGTTGACAATTATTTTTTTCCAACTGACATTTTTAAGTAGGTCATTTAAAAAATGAGAAATCATAAAAAAGTAAAATTTGAAGATGGAGAAAAGAGACTCTGGGAAAAATCAGAAGCAGAGACAGCTCAACAATGCTTGCACTTTTTATGGCAAAATGATTAGCAGAAGATTTTGTATCAATGCAGTCTCCTGCTTCCAATAGCCTTATAGATCCATGTGCATCTGTGTAATACTGTTGAATATAAAACACACTAAGAAGATTCTGGATACCTTTCAACTTTTCCACCAGCTGTAAAAAAGCCAGGAATCTACCAAGAGCTTCTTTAGGACAGGGTGTGTTTATGCGTTGCTACATGTGAGGAAAGGAAAACTGGAAGAGCAGAATAAACTGGAAGAGCAGAATGGTCCTAGATGGGATTTGGAGCAACGATCATATAAAACCATCAGTCAGCCAACCGGTTCTTAGAGACGCACACAGTTTACACCAAGGACTGTGAAGGAAAATCCAACGTATAAACCACACCTTTAATGAGTTTAAACATGTTCCCTTTGACTGTAAACTGATTTTTAAATACATTTCATATCTATTTACGTTCGCAGGAGCACAGCTTTATCAGATGCAACAGTCTTTAATAAAAACCTCTGTATCAAAACCACTTTCAATTTAAGAGGCTACATTGGGTCAAGCTGAGCTGCTGGATGCCTGCACCTGTTTCTCCCCCACCACCCCTACCTTATGTAATGTTCCTGGAGAGGTCAAACTTGCATTTACCTCTGCTCAAAGATGTTTTTCAAGTTTTGCTCCTCTGTGTGGAGAAGGTTGAGGCCATCAGAGATCTCCATGGATTCTTTTTGGTCATCATCTCTGCTTTCCTGTTCCTTTTCCTTTTCCCTCTTTTTCTCCATCTGCTGCTGTAACCTTCTGTGCTGCAGTTCCTGCATCGCCTTGAACTGGAGCCTCAAAGTGTCCTGTGAGCCTTCGTCGGCTGCCATCTTGCCTAGGAGTCAGCAAAGAAGCCTAAATCAAACTCCACACTGAGTACTCAGGTACACGGTCAGCCTTGTCTGCAGCCTGGAGTTTGTTGTTGAGCTTTGCCTGTGTGTCCATGTGTGTCCATGCAAATACTCAGGAGCCCCATTGCCACTTTGGATCATCTGAAACCCAAAGCTGAGCTGAGCCTCCTCCCCCAGCCCTGGACTTGCCACCAGACTGCACATGGCATCAGGATGCTCCCCATTATGCAGATATGATATTTGCCTGTCTCTTAAGTCACTGGCTCTCAACTCTAGCTGAACATCAGAATCTCCTGAGAGGTCCTAAAATAGAAGAATGCTTGGACCCTTCCCCAGATCAATTAGATCCCAATGTCTAGGAATGGGGCTATGCATCATGACTTCCTTTTCTCTTAAAATTGAGGTATAATTCACATACAGTAAAGTGCATAAAGCCTGAGTACACAGCCCAGTGAATCCCCCAGGTGTGTACTTCTGTGGTGACCCACTGCTGGGGCTTAGAAAATGAAACCTCCAACTCTGGTGTTTTGGACCTGCTGAGTTGAAAATATTTAAGAATCAAGATCTTTCAGGCCTATTCCATCCCCCACTCCCATCTCTTGGTCTTATTTCTACTCCATAGGCACAGGAAAGGGCTTTTGCTGAATATAGTATGTCACCCTGAAACTCATGTTGAAATTTAATCTTTGTTGTGAGGTACTAGGAGGGTAGAAACTTAGAATTTGACTGTGGTGGTGTTTAAAGGTAATACCTTTGAGAGTTGATTTGGATTAGATGAGGTAATTAGGGTAGAGTTCCCATGACTGAATTCTAGTAGCTGTATAAGAGGAGGGAGAGAGACCAAAGAGACGCATGTATACACATGCTCCCTATTTTTTGCCATGTGATGCCCACACCCCCTCAGACTCTGACAGCGAGAAGGTCATTACCACAGCCAAGCACAGTGGTGCATACCTGTAATCCCAACCACTCCAACTACTCAGGAGGCTGAGGTGGGAAGATTGTTGAGTTTGAGACAGCTTAGGCAACAGAGCAAGAGGCCATTACCAAATATAGCCTCTCAACCTTAGATTTCCAGCATTGTGAGTCAAAGTCAACTTCTTTTCTTTATAATTCACCCAGTCTGCAATATGGTGTTACTGGCAACAGAAAATGGACAAAAATACATGCATCATCCAATAGTCATACATCCTAATTCTCCATAAAAGTCATCCAATCTGTCCCCATATCTCCCCACAACACACACACCCAGTTCTCATTAGCATGCTTATAACCACCTCAGCCACTCCCTCTCCCTGGAACGATCCTCTCTCAGACATCCACCTCACTACTTCCTCTCAGATGTCATCTTGTCAGAGGCCCATCTCACATTCTATTGGAGAAAGCATCCCTGTCCTCACTCTGCATACCCCTTACTGTTTTTATCTTTCTCCATAGCACTCAGCTTCACTTGACTAATTTTGTATTTATCTGTTTATTTGTTGACTACCTGTCTCCCTCCCCACCATCTTCATCATGGTGGGCCCTGTGCATTGCTCACTGCCCTATCCTCAGTGCCTCTATCAGGGCCTAGGATATGGCAGACTAAATTGGTTCCTACGTCCTCGCTGCCCACTCCTCCTGGCCCCACTTGTAGTCCATCATGCACTGGTTGAGGGACTGGTTTCTCTAAAGTACAGCTTTGAACTTGACATGCCTCTTTGCAAAAAACAAAAAAATAAAACAAACAAAAAACTGAGATGCTCATTAGCCACAGAACTAAGTCCAAAAGCATTAAAAAAAAAACTTTGGGGTATTTGGCCTCAGTCTCTCCTTCTAGCTTGTTTTCCTTCCATAATGCTAAGTTCTAATTAGTTGTGTCCACTTGCTCCTTTGTCCTATATAAGCCCCCTGCCATAGGATTAAATCTTGCTGGTCCTCCTGGCCCAGCACTAATACCACGTCCTTTCCTGATCCTCCAGGAACAGTACTTTCTGCTTTAGCCATACCTTCCTGATACACCTATCTCTATTTTATGGTCCCACAACCTCTACCCAGTGGTTCTTAAACTTACTTCCATTATGAATCTGCAAGGATACAATCTAAAAATACTGATTCCCAGGTCATATCCCTAGAGAATCCGACTTTGTTATAACAGTCTGGATTTGGAGACCAGGCATGGAGCTTTGTAAGAGCTGCCCAGGAAGCTCTAACATGCTGTCTGTGGACTGAGCCCAGGGTTGGAGAAAGGTCTGGCTAAAGCAGGAGCTGGGACTATGTTGAAATTCCTCAGCAGATAGATTTGCCCAGTAAGAGAAATTGCACAGGAAACAATTAACTTGCAGGTCTGGTTTGTCTACACTTTGCGTGTTCCAAAGAAAGGTTTCGCCCTTGACTTGCTGCTAGGAAATAACCTCTAAACCCTTGGAATATCCTGCCTGGTTAAGAGTATCTTTCTTCAATTGAGGTCCTTGGAACACTCCAGATAGTCTGTGCTAAAAATGTGGGTGAGCACATGGTATCTGCTTGACCTCTGGAGGGGCTGGAGATTGAGTGACTAAAGTCAGCTATGCCAGTGGTCAGCCATTCCTTGGTGACCAGCTCCCAATAAAAACCCTGACCACCAACGTTCAGGTGAGCATCCCTAGCTGGCCATACTTGATGCATGTTGTCACACGTTGGTTTTAGGAGGAATAAACATTGTCTGCATGACTCTGCTAGAAGAGGGCAACTGGAAGGTTGTGCCTGGTGTCTCCTGGACTCTGGCTTTCTTCCCTTGCTCATTTTTATCTGTAATCTTTCACTATAGTAAAGCATAACAGAGTATAATATGATGGCTTTTCTAAGTTCTATGAGTTCTAGAAAAAACACTGAAACCCGTGAACTTCAGGAATCCTGGAATATTTCTATTAAAAGTGTTATAGTCACAGCCACCTCAGTGGGTTCAAAAAGATGGGGATACCCAAGGATATAATGTAAACATAACAACTAAACTCAATGTTTTACATTTCAGGCAAATTGTACTCCATGTTTTAAATTTAGGCAGGGATCAGCAAACTTTTTCTGTTAAGGGCCAAACTTAAAAATAGTTTAAGCTTTGTAGGCTATATGTTTTTTGTCACAATTACTAACACTCTGCCATTGTAACAGAAAGGAGCCAGAGACAATGGGTAAACAATGGTTATGGATGTATTTCAAAAAAACTTTACTACAAAAAGAGGCACTGAGCTGGATTTGAACCATAAGCCCTTAGTTTACCAACTTGATGTAGAGGAATTCACCTGAAAAAAATTTCCAGGGATTGAAGCAAACCCTATTTCAGTCTTTTATTTGAAAATTTAACTAAAACAGTTTAAAAATAAATTTATCTTTTGATTCCCCTTCTTTTTGTAGATTACAAGGGAGAGACAATCATATCCTTCAGTTTCCAAACTGCGTTACCTTGGAAAGAGAAGGGATGCGCTATTATTAATAATCACTCTTCATCAAAGCAGGCCAGGAAAACAAATTAGAGTATAAAATAGTGGTTCTCATTCCTGCTGCATACTGGGATAACTAGGGATTCTGAAGGTGCTGAGGTCTGGGTGCCATGCCAGGGATTCTGAAGTCATTGATAAGGGTAGGGCCTGGGCATTTGGATGCTGCTGGTTTGGGAGGCCATATTAGTAGGCTGGACTGAGCTGACAGCACCTGGAGTTCAAGGTAGACTTGGCTCTCAACCAGATATGTGCAAGTTTTCTAGAACCCTCCAGGACTTAATCCCTTCTTCAGTTAAGCAGGAGATGATGGTACTGAGGTTACAGATGTGCAGTGAAGGGCAAATGCAAAGGACAGTGTGAAAACATTTTGTCAACTATGGACTGATAGAAACAGTATCTCTCCCTTCCTGTTGGTTTCTTTGGAGGACTCCCTTCCTCCTCTACTTTATCCAACATCCAGATTCTTATGGTGACACTAGTGACCCGCTAGCAGAAAGTCTTCCCTGGCTGCTTGGCCAGTAGTGACTAAATCCTAAAACACCACTGCTTCCAGCCTCTGTCCACATACCCTCACATCACAGGGTCACCTCCCTTGACCTCATTGTCCCAGGACTTTCCTGTCTCTCTAGATACCTGATCCCTCCTCCCTAGCAACTTGGGTCTTGCACATTTATCCCATTAATCCATTCTGTACATGACCATCTGGGACCTTTCTAAAACAAGATCTAAGTGGCTCCTGCCTCTGCAAGACCCTGCCAGGATTCACGGGAGGAAACTCTGGCTAGCCTGAAGGCTGTACGTATCCCACAGGCATTTTTGTTCAACTCTTACAGAGCACTGTGTTATGATTTGATTTTTTTGCCCACATTTAAAGATCTATAGATTTTAATTAAATCCATATTTGCAGATTCTTTTATAAGTTAATAGGTATGGCAGTACTGGGCCTATAGTCCACATGGTCAGCAGGCACTAGGCAGAAGGAATTCCCTCTGGACAGGGGGAATTCTTCCCACTCAATCACTGTCCTGGCCACTTTTGGAAGCAGCAGCTGGCACATCAGCTGCCCACTATCATTGCACATAAAGGTTCTTTATCTTACACCTTCTGGATTCACCCACTTTCATTTCCTACTGGTGCCTGAAGATGCCTGGGTTAGTGGCTCTTGCTAAGGATCAGGCTCAGGGGCATCCCAGGCTTTCTTCAGCAACTTCCCTGCCTAGGATGCCTCTCTCCTATTACCTGAGTTGGCTCTTTACCTTTCCACTAACTCCCACTTAGTCTTTAGGGTTCCCCTAGGGGCATTCTGTGGACTCTCAGAATCTTTTGGACATCCCCTGGTCACTATACCTCCAATATTATAACTACCTATAATTTTATTTATATTCCCTTTACAAAGAGGTCTCTTAAAGGCAGGGCCTTATGTCTTATTCATTTATTAATTCTCAGCATCTTGCCCACAATAGGCCCTTAATTAGTGTTCACAGAGCTATCACTGAATGAATGTAGCCAGTGCTCAAGAAT